GTAGAAGTCACCTCAGACTTCCTCGCCAGGGGGAACACTGTGGTGTAGCGGGAGTAGTCGTCAACGACCACCAAAAAGAAACGCTCACGCTCAGGGCCAGGGCGAGGAGAGGGGCCCCAGACGTCCAAGTGCAGCGTCTCAAAAGGCTCGGTGGCCGGACGAAGGGAGGAGGAGTGAGGGGTGGCGCGCAGCCTACCCTCGACGCAAGGACCGCACGGTGGTGCAAGGGACGGCGGCAGCGACGGCAAGACACGCGGGAGACCTAAGACAAGACGCTGACGAGACATAGCGCGAAGACGAGGAGGAGAAGGGTGCCCCAGCCGGTGGTGCCACAAAACGGTGGGGTGGGCAAGCGACCGACAGGAGCACGACGCAGCGACCGGACTAGACGGAGGAACCTGACAAGACACAGCTACCTGGGGGGACGGAGCAACCTGGTGAGACGCGAGGACTCGAACGGGGGGCAAAACAGGGGCCGGGGGCAGGAGGGGCGGCTGTGGCTGCGGCTGCGGCTGCTGCTGCTGCTGCTGCTGCAGTCGCTGCTGAGCGCGCGGGCCAGTGTGAAGAGTGTAGAGACCGGAGCCCGGCTCAGCAGCAAAAGTGGCGAGGGGCTGGTAAGAGTCCCCGTCAACACACACCGCAGTCTCTCCAGAAGGCTCAAACCACACACCCACGTGCTGACTCACGAGGGGTCGCACGCCCACCAAGTTCCGGGAGAACGAGGGGACGTGAAACCCAGTGAGAGACCCAGAAGGAGCAGCCGGACACGGCAAGGTGGTAGTGTGACGCGCGGTGACTGGTCCCGAAGTGGGATCAGCCAGCGCCACAGAAACAGGCGCAGGAAGAGGCGTAAGTGTCGTGCTGTCACGAAAGAAGCAGTGAGAGGCTCCAGAGTCCAGCGTGAACGACAGCGAACCGTCCTCTGAGGTAGCCGCTGGACTAGAGTCTACACAAGAACCTACACTAGCAACAGGCAACTGAGCAAGGCTAGCACCTAAGCTAACAACACCAGAGTAAACAGAGTCAGAAACACTAGAGTCAACAACAGCATACATAGCATGGGGATTACCAATCAGATCAACTAACTGCTCAGCAGACATGCCCCACAGAGCGGAGCCGTAACGCTGAACAAGAGGCAGCCAGTCAGGGGCAGGAGCACCAACCCCGTAGACCAAACGAACCGTGTCAGTGAGCTGAGCAAAGCACTGACCAGGGGGGTGAAACCGGCCACAAGGGTGGCCACGACGAGTGCCTGTCAGAACCTGGTAGGTGCAGGGAGTGTAAGCAGCACCGCGCTGGGTCTGACGCAGCCCCGACCCTGGAGCCAGCTGCTGCCGCTGCTGCTGCTGAGGCTGCTGGGAGGAGAGGGGCTGCTGGTGCTGCAGAAGCTGCTGCTGACGCTGAGCCTGGTACCACGCCGCTGCTCCACCAACCGGGGCAGGAAGTACAGGAGGCGACTGACGAACTCGGGCGTCGCCACCACCAGCAGGCGCAGTGGAGTCACCAGTCACTGCACGAGGCGCCTCTCCAGGCCCTGAACCTCCACCGCCGCCAGGCGCAACGCCACCTCCACTACCTCCGCCTCCACCTCCACTACCACCACTAGAACCGCCTTTCTTGCCACTCCTACCGCGGGACCGCGACGCAGTCGTAACAGCAGCTGCAGTCGCGTCAGTAGCGGCAGTGGCAAGTGAGGCAGTAAAGGTGGGTAACTGCGGGACTGTGCACCCGTGGAAGAGTGGGGGGGGCACAGCACCAGAGGCAGCGGCTACCGAGCGAAGGTTGCTCTCGACGTCCTTGAGTGCAGACTCAAGGACCTCGACGGTGAGCTCACTAGGGTGCTTCAGCAGAAGCGCGTCGCGAACGGAGGCAAGGCGGTCAGGGAGGCTAGTGGCGATGAAATAGATAGTAATCGCCATAGGGGGAGGAAGCAGTGCAAGCTGTGCCTCAGTGCAAGCAGCGCGGTAACTAGCGTCGAGCGAGCGGAGGTGAGCGATCAAGTCAGCAGAGCGCTCAAAAGACGCTAGGTCAGGAAACAGGAACGGGAGGAACAGGCGGCCAAGAGAGACAGCAGCGGGAGTAGAGTAGCGGGCCTTAATCGCAGTGAGGTACTCAGCAGCGGTGCGAACCTGAGTGAAGTGAACCTCCTCAGACTCAGGGAGGAGGCTGCTGAGCGCGATGCAGGCCGCAGCGTCACGTGACGTCCAAGCCGTCTGGTCAGCTCGCTGAGTGGCAAAGCGGGCTCTAGCGGCGTCGTCAGGGGCAGGTCCTAAAGGCGTAGGGTCGGGGGGCGCAGGTAGGGCACCAGTAGCGTGCGCCCAGAGGGTCTCGCCTGCCTGGACCTGACTCTCTAACAGACGGCGAGCACGAAGAAGCCAGACGGAAAAATCAAGAGGTCTACCGTCAGCGTCGAAACGAAGGACACGCTGAGTCGCCATAGTGAAAACGAACGCGAACGGAGAGGGAGGGGACAGCAGTAGGTGAGAGGCAAATTAGGGTTCGGCGGTACTCTGGGACAGGGGAGGAGCGGACGCCACAGCGGGCGTGACAGCGGGAGGTAACAGGGGACTAAGCAGCGGGGAACGGGAACGGGCGCAGCGGCGGGCGATGGCAGCGCGCTCGGCAGCAGGGGCCAGCAGCGCGCGCAGCGGGCGACGGCAGGGGGCGCAGCGGCGACGCGCGCAGCGGCGGGCGACGACGGCGGGGCCGCGGCGAGGCGCGCAGGGGGCGGGCGACGGCGGCAGGCGCGGCGGCGACGAGCGCGGTCGCGAGCGACCGTGGCGGGCGCTGCGGGACGGGCGACGCGACGGGGGGAGAGGGCGGGAGCGACGGGACAGGGGGAGGGCGACGCGACGGGGGGAAAGGGGCGGGTGCGACGGGACAGGGGGAGGGCGACGCGACGGGGGGGAAGGGGCGGGCGCGACGGGACAGGGGGAGGGCGACGCGACGGGGGGAAAAGGGGGGGCGCGACTGGACAGGGGGAAGGCGACGCGACGGGGGGAAGGAGCGGACGCGACGCGACGGGGGGAGCGCGACGCGACAGGGGGAAAGGGACGGGCGCGTCTCGAGGGGGGGGAAGGCGACGCGACGGGGGGGCGGTAACAGCTGGAACGATACGAACGAGAGCGTGGGTCGTTGCTAGGCTCGGTAACAGCTGGAACGATACGAACGAGAGCGTGGCTCGGCGCTAGGCTCGGTAACAACGAGAAGGAGACGAACGAGAGCTAGGATCAGGCTCGGGTGGTACGAACGGAGAACGGCGGAACGGGATCCCACAGGATCCTAACCTAACTGATACCATGTCAGAATGAAGAATGGATGATGCATTGATGTTGGTTGGGGTACATATAGCTAACCCTAAGTTTTGTACCCCCTAAGACAAACCTCACTATAGGCTACAACATTTGACAGCTCACCACCTTTTGAGACGCCTAAAAGAATCCGCGTGAACTGAGGCGCCTCAGAAGTGGTAAAAGCTGATTTGTACTGTAGCTCACCACTACTGTATGTGGTATTTCAACATTGCTACTTGTACCTACCTCTCACGGCTCACTGTTACCACGTGGTTGATAATGAGCAATATGCAACGCCACATATCAGTGGGGAAACAAAAAGCATGAAGCAGAGGAAAGAAGGAAAGGAAAAAAACACAAGGGCCTCTATCATTCGCCCCTAGCGGCAAGCAAGAGTCACTGTTCGCTGATTCAGCACAGCGAGTATAGAAACGCACACTCACCAAAAAAAAAAAAAAAAAAAAAAAAAAAAAAAAAACCTTTTCTCCCAAACGGTTTCATTCATCCATCCGCTTCATCCCTCCCTCTTCTCCCCCCACACCCCCATTCCCATTTCCACTGCACAAGACAACCCCTTTGGAGCTGTTCAGTGCACAAGCACCCATCATCCCATCCTATGCCATGCCATCCCACGCCATGCCATCCCATCCCATGCCATCCCATGCCAGGCCGAGCCCTTGCCATGGTGTCACGTCACAGACTGGCATCCCTGTGAGTCCACAGCACACTCCATCCACCCCTACGCTCATATACTGCTGCGCTCTGCACCTCTCCCTACCCCTGCAAAACCAAAACCCTTCCAACCCACTCGAGTAGCAGAGAGCAATCCATGAGTACTCAAACCACTCCATCCATCCATCCATCCGTCCATGTGACCCGCCGCACCTTGTACGGCCTCGGCTACTACTGCCCCCCTGAGCAAGCAAGTCCCCCTACTCAGCCGCACCAGCCCTGGTGGGACGTCTGACCACACAGCATGGAAGCTGTGGCTACCCTGTTCCTGTGCGCAGTCCTCCCCCCCTCCCCCCCTTCCCCCCCGCCTGTCATATGGCCTCCCCCGCTACTGCCCAACTGGCCGGAGCCGGGCCCCTTCTGTATGGCTACTGCCGCTTCTGCTGTTACTGCCCCCCTGAGCGGGCGCCCTCAGCACCTTTTCTGTAAACACTGCCTTCCCTGCCTTCCCTGCCTTCCCTGCCTTCCCTGCCTTCCCTGCCTTCCCTGCCTTCCCTGCCTTCCCTGCCTTCACTGCCCCCCTTCAGCGAGCCCCTGAACTCGGCCGCACGGACCCCGGCGGGACTGCCTCTACGGCATGGAACTGCGGCGTCCACAGCACCCTCCTGCCGCACTCCAACAACTGCAGACAGAAAAGAGATCTCCTGCACTCCGCGCCACTGGCCGAGCCCCATTAGCCCCTTCACTACCCCCCATTTATCGAGCCGCTTTTCTCGGCCGCACGGACCCCGACGGGACTGCCTCTACTGCATGGAACTGCGGCGTTCACAGCACCCGCCTCCCGTTTACTGCCCCCCTTGAGCGAGCCCCTTCACTGCCCCCCACTTTATCGAGCCCCTTCACTACCCCCCCTTCAGCGAGCCCCTTTACTCGGCCGCACAGACCCCGGCGGGACGTCCACGGCATGAAACTGCGGCGTCCACAGCACCCTCCTCCAAAAACTACCCCCTTTAAAGACCCCATTTACTGCCCCGTTTATCGAGCCCCTTTACTAGGTCGCACGGACCCCGGCGGGACATCCACGGCATGGAACTGCGGCGTCCACAGCACCCTCCTGCCGCACTCCAACAACTGCAGAAAGAAAATCTTCTGCACCGCTCTCCACTGCTGCAAAAACTCCTCCTCGGAGCACGCGTGCGGGACCAGCACCTCGTCTAGGACCCTACTAGGCCCGCAGTAAGAGAAGGGGCGCTGGGATTCAATGTCGTTGAGAGTGATGAGCGAGGAGGGCGGCCCGCCCGCCTCATAGTTGGCTGCGTGCAGGCGCAGCAGGAGGTGGCGTTGGCGCGCGTATGCGCCGTGGGATAGAGAGACGGCGGCTACTGCATGCACGTCTTCCAGGAGCTCCTCTAGCCGCTCCTTCACCTGGTGGGGGGAGGGTGGACAGGCAAGAGTGGGGGAGCGGGGAGCGGGAGATGAAGACAAAGGAGGTGGCGTTGGCGCGCGTATGCGCCGTGGGAGAGAGAGACCGTTGCCACTGCGTGCACGTCTTCCAGGAGCTCCTCTAGCCGCTCCTTCACCTGGTGGGGGCGGGAGGGGAGGGGATGGGAGGGGAAGGGAGGGGAGGGGATGGGAGGGGAAGGGAGGGGAGGGGCGAGGAGGAAAGGGGAGGGAACGGGAGGCGAGGGAAGGGAGGATGGGTTGAGGAGGAAGAGTGAGAGGCATGGCAGGTGCCACAGGGCGTTACGATGGGGCTTTGTAGTGAGAGGTTGGAGAGAGGAATGCAATGACGGTGGTGCACGGACAGAAGAGAGGAAGCAGGCACCAGGACGGAATAACTAGCTGGCAGGACGACAGGGCAAAGGGGAGGAGAGGGAGCGAGAGAGAATGGGGGAATGAGAATGAGAGAGAAAGAGAGAATGAGAAGGAGAGTGAGAGAGAGGGCTTACAGTAGGCAGGAGAGGGTCAAAGAGCTCCTCTATCTTCATCTGCAGCGCTGCCGCCGACACACCACCACCCGCACCCGCACCCACACCCCCACCCGCACCTCCTCCTCCTCCTCTCCCCCCTCCTGCGATCGACCCAAGAGCCGCATCATACCCCACATTAAACCTGTGGAACGCCATGCGTCCCTCCACGGTCCCATGCGCATCCTCCATGGCCAGCGCAACCAGGCCTGTCTTGAACTCGCGCGCCCCCATGTGGTGCTGCAACGCGCGGTGGCTGGCGGCGCGCTCTGCTGCGAGTACTGCCTGTGCGAACTGTAGTGCTCGTGGGGCTACTGACTCCACCTGCTGCTGCTGGTGCTGCTGCTGTTGCTGGTGTTGTTGTTGCTGGGATGGTGATGGTGGTGAGAGGGCGGGCGATGAGATGAACTCGTAGAAGCGAGTGTGTGAAGGGATGAGCGCGTACCTGGTTGCGTGGAAGCGGGAGGGTGGGGTGAGACAGAGGAAGGAGGAAGGAGGGGGCATTGGTTGGGTTTGGTGGGCTGATTTTTGACAGAGTTGCGGGAGAGCCAAGGACGGATGCAAAGAGGCAAAAAGAGAAGAGCAGTGAACGGTTGGACACTGGAAAGGGACTTGGGGCAAGGAACGTACGACTTGAGTCCCATCCCATGCCGAGCATGGACTCTGCAACCAGCTTGGCGGCCTCGCAGAGCACCGTAGGGTGCAAGGGCGAGAGCGAGAGCGAGAGCAAGAGAGATAGGGAGAGAGCAACATAGCGTACGATTTGACTTTTGAGTCGACTCAAAAGTCACCTGAGCGAGAGCGAGAGAGATAGGGAGAGAGGAACAGAACATACGACTTGGGCCCCATGCCCAGCATGGACTCGGCAACAAGCTTGGCAGCCTCGCAGAGCTCTGCAGGGTGCGAGTGGTCGGGCACAACGACGGGCCACATGTGCCACGGCAGGCGTGCTGCCACCTCTGGAGGCACCTCTAGCATGTGCCGCCGCTCCACCACCAGGAATGAGTATAGGAATGGCTCCGCTGGTGATGGTGATGGTGGTGGTGATGCTGGTGGGGATGGGGATGGGGATGGTGCGGTGCGGTGGCTAGAAGTGGCAGTGGGAGTGGGAGTGGGAGTGGAAGCAGGGCGGGCTGTGGTGTTGGTGGAGGTGGGCGCTGTTGCGGGGGCTCCCGGGTGGGGTGTGCGAGGGAAGGGAGCAGGGGCGGTGGAGGAGGAGGAGGAAGAGGAGGAGGAGGCTGAGAGGAGGTCGTATGTGCGGAGAGCAGCAGGGGAGAAGGGGTCCTGGGGAGGGGAAAGGGCAGGGGGGGGGAAGGGCAAGCGGGAGAGCAAGAGGGAGGTGGGGGGTGGATGGGAATGGTTTAAAAAAGTGCGCGTGGGCGTGGGATGAGGAGTTATGAAGAAGGGATGAGAATGCAGCAGGGGTTACAAGCACAGAGAGGCGTTGAAATTGGACTGGTGAAAGACTCGACACTGGCGCAATGGAGGGGAGCGAGGGTGGGGGGGTGCAGCCATGTAAAGGAGAGACGGAAAACGGTTGAGATGGTTTGAGAGGGAGAAGGGCGAGAGGGTGCATGGAGGAAGGGAAAATGGGAGGGTTTTCAAAAGGGAAAGAACGGAAGGAAAAACAGGGCAGGAAAAGCAGAAGGGAAGGGTTGGAGAAAGCATCAGCATGCATGCCCCGCAACCCAAAACTCCCATCCCTCCCTCCCCCAACTCTCCAACCCTCCATCCCTCCCTTCCTCCCTCCTTCGCTACCTCCCTCCCTCCCTCCCTCCTTCCCTCCACCCCCCAACCCTCCCTCCACCCCTCAACTCTCCCTCCCTCCCTCCGCCCTACCTCCTGCCCTCCACGCGCCCTCACCTTGGAAATGAAGAACATGGGGGGGCAGATCTGCTCTACAACATTCGTGGCATGCTTGCACACATGCTCGTAGTGGTTCAGAAATATATCCGCCCACTGCCCCACTCGTATCGCCCTTGCTCTCGCAGGACTCCGCGTGAACTCCAGCCACGAATACGGAGACTTCACATCCCGCTCGCCTCCCGGCCCGCCGGTTAAATCAGTCACCCATATGATCTCCGGTCCTGGTCGCGCCTGCAGAGGAACTTGCTTTAGTTTCCGGTGGAGGAGCGGCGGGCCGGAGTCAGGGAGACGGCTCGGGGGCAGGCCTTGGGAGGCACGGGCAGCAGCGGCAGCGGCAGCGGCGGCCGCGGCGGTGGCGGCGGCAGTGGCGCGGACGGAACAAGCAGCGCTGTCGATCCGAGCCGCCGCTGCTGCTGACCCTGACCCTGCGCCTGGTGCTTCTCCTGAGGCAGACCCTCCCGCTGCCGAGGCTGCCGCTGCTGCATTGCTTGAACTGGCAGTTGGGTTATGGTTTGTTGTGCTAGTGGCTAGCCCAGTGGGTGTGGGACAGGTTAAGCCAGCGGAGGGTGGAGTGGTGTAGTTGATTGTTATGGCGTCAGAGGTGGGGTGGCGGCCAGGCAGGACTGGGGGAGGTGGGAGCTTGCGCACAGAGGGAATGGGTCTGGAGGGGGGATGGACAAGGGGGAGGGGTGGACAAGGAGGAGGGGTGGAGAAGGGGGAGGGGTGGACAACGGGGAGGGGTTGGGAGGGAAGGTGGGAAGGGAAGTGAGGGGCAGGATGAGGAGGGAGATGGGGAACAGGTGGTCCAACGTAATGAAATGGGCGAAACGGAAGGATGGGAGCAGAACGATCTTCAAAAAAGGGAGACGAAGAGAGGCAGTGCGCTAAAGAAGCAGGAAAGGGGACAGTCGGCGGCTTCTTGCTTTGCAAGAAATTGCCTAGAAGGAAATGTAAGCGAACCTGCAGGGGATGGTGAGGGTGGGGTTTAGTATATCCTTGGACAGTACCAGCAGCCCTAGCGCCACTTCTCTCACTGCCGCTGCTGCTTTCGCCACCTCCAAGCCCCCTTTCCTCGCCTTCGTGTCCTCCCCTGTTACCACTCGTCCCACACGCATGCCTGTCGCAGCAGCAGCAGCGGCAGCAGAAGCAGCAGCAGAGGGCGAAGGCGCGGCCAAAGCAGGGGCTGTATCATTCGTAAGGCCTGGAAAGAACGGGAGCTGGTGCTTTCCAGGGCTATCTGCTGCTGCTGCTGGTGCTGATCCAAGGTCCAGAGCAGTAGGGGGAACAAGTACAGCAGTGGGTGGGTGAGAAGCAAGTGCAAGGCCACAGGGACCAGCAGCACCCGTGGCTTGCCCTTTGCTCAACCATGGAAACGGCGCAGCAGCGGCAGCAGCAGCAGCAGCCGGAGCAGCAGCAGCGTCGGCATTACCAGCAGCAGACTCACCAGCCGCACCAGCTGCAGCAGAGAGCAAAGCCGCAGCCGCAGCAGGAGCAGGAGCAGGACTAGGCAAGGCGGCAAGCGAGCTTGGGAGGCAGGAGGAGGAGGAGGCGAGGGGGTGCAGGACGTGCAGGGCGAGGGAGAGGACCTGCGGGGCCATGGTGTGGTGGGCCCAGTGGCGCAGTCGCATGGCAATGCTGGTGGGCGCGTCAAAGAGACGCACTGTGCTCTCCTGAGCGAAGTCCGCTGCTGCTGTCGCGTCTGCAGGGGAGGGATGTGATGGGGGGGAGTGCCACGGGTTGGGTGGAAGAGGAGGGAGGGGGGGAATGGGGAAGAGGGAGGGGAGGGTGGGGGGCAAGGGAAGGGAGGGAATGAGAGGGAAGGGAGGGAATGAGAGGGAATGGAGGGAATGGAGGGAATGGGAGAGTGAATAGGAGTTTCAAGACGTCTCAAGCCTGGGGGGGCCCATGGTGTGGTGGGCCCAGTGGCGCAGTCGCATGGCAATGCTGGTGGGCGCGTCAAACAGACGCACTGTGCTCTCCTGTGCGAAGTCCGCTGCTGCTGTCGCGTCTGCAATGGGGGGAGGGGGGATGTGAAGCAGGGGGGGAGGGGGGGGGGAAAGGAGTGTGGGTAGGTCGTCTTGAAGAGACACACTGTGCTCTCTGTAGCAAAGTCCGCTGCTGCTGTGGCGTCTCCAGGGGTTGGGCGATGGGAGGGGAGGGAAGAAGGGGTTGGATGAAAGGGAGAGAAGGAAGTGCGGGAAGAGTATGGTAAAGTGGAAGTGGAAACTGGGGGCGGGCGAGGGAAGGGGTGAGAGGGGTAGTGGGAATAGGAGGGTGAATTGGAGGGCGAATGGAGGGGTGCAAGGGGGAAGGGAAGACGGGTCGGGAGAGGACGGGATATGGAAACGGATTATGCTGGCTCAAAACTCTAGAAGAAGTTCGGGAGTCAAGCAGTTGATAAATTCACCCAACCCCTCTCTTCTCTCCCGAGCAAACCATTCTTCCTCTCACCAACACCACACCACCACCACCACCGCCCTCCCCCTCCCCTTGTCCCCTATCTTTCTCCCGTCTCCCACTAATCCCTAGCTTCCCCTCACTATCCATCCATGTGACATGGGAGAGAAAGAGAAAGAGACGGACCTATGGAGCGAGCCATGTGATGCCGCCACGCCTGCTCCAACTCCCGCCGTACCATCCCATGCAACACTCCCTCGACTGCACCCAGGTCCCCCGCTCCTCCTACTCCTCCCATTCCACCCGTCCTTCCCACTCTTGTGCCTATCTCCCTTTCCCCTTCTCCTTTCCCTCCTGCTCCTGCTCCTGCTCCTGCTCCTGCTGCAACTGCTGCTGCTGCTTCTGTCGCTCCCACCATCTCGGCCCAATCCAAACCACCAGCACAGGAGGACGACCCAGCGCTCTTCCACCCAAGCCCTTCCCCCGCGCCTCTTCCCCACCCGCCCCCCCCCCCCTCTTCCACACGCGCCTTCCCCTTATCCACCCCCTTCCCCTTCCCACCCCCCCCTGCCGCACCCACCCCTGCACCCACCCTCCCTGTGGCCCTTCCCTCTTCCATCCGAAGCAGGTTGGGAGGAGAGGGGAGGTGGTGCGGGGAGAGGAGGGAGAGAGCAGCTTCAAGGCCCAGGGAGCGGTGCACAGACCACAGCTTGTCGAGTGCCGTTTCAGACGCTATTACGAAGCTGCTTGATATGCTCAGAAGCATGTCCCCTTCCTCCTCCTGCTCTGCTTGCTCCGCCTGCTGCCCCTGCTGCTGCCCCTGCTGCTGCCCCTGCTGCTGCCCCTGCTCCTCCTGCCCCTCCTGCAGAGACAGCGGTAGTGATGGGGGTGCTGCTGGGCAGCTGCGGTAAGGGAGACGGGAGGGAAGAGAGGGGAGAGAAGTGGGGAGAAGGTAGGGGTTGGGGAAGGGGAGGGAGGAGGCAAGACGGAGAAAGGGGGGAAGAGGGAGGGGGGGAAGAGCGAGGGAGCACACGGGGCGGGAGGTGGCAGTAAGTGGGTTTGCTGAGGATGGAAAGAGTTCATGATTTGCTTATGCTGAGTACTGTGGAACCAGAGCAAGCGATGCAGGAGAAAGAGAGGGGATGGATGGGGGAAGGGCGACGGGAGGGAGAAGTGGGGAGAGGGATCGGGAGGAAAGGGACGGAAATCAGAAGCGTGTGGACAGCAAACAGTGGCAGGGCAGAGGTATGTGTATGGAAGAAAGGAGGGGGGGGGAGGGAGGGGGGGGGGGGGGAGGGGGTGCGTGTGTGTGCATGGGGTGGGTTGTGTACGTGAGTTGCAGGGTGTGTGAGCAAGGAGCATCAGGCATTGCAGGTGGATATGCATCAGCCCCAAAGGGGAGGGGGTTTGTGCATGAGCCACAACAGCCAGCTCTTGATGAGTCGCCTCAAAAGACAGCAACAGCACAGCCACTGCACACCAACAAACAGAGAAACTTACGGATGCGAAGAGGAGGACGCGAGCATGGCGATAGCGGCCTCCTGCTCGTCCAGCATCAGCGCGCACGCCACATCCCCGAGCCCTTCAAACGACTGCCTTAACGCGCCCACCACAAACGACACCATTCTGCGCCACCACCGCTCGCTCCCGTCGCTCGCCCACGCGCACGTCTCAAGATAATCCTGCACCTCACAGCGCAACGCGTCCAGCTGTTGGATAATCTCTTCCCGGAAGGCGGAGAGGAAGCATTGCTGGCTCTTGTACCGCACGTGCTCCCAGTGGGCCTCTGCCGCGAAGGTGGCCGCAGCGGTGCTCAGGGCGTCTGTGCGGTTGCTCACGGCGGTGCTGCAGCTGCTGCCGGGGATGCTGCTGAATGCGGCAGCGGCGCTGCTGGTACCAGCGGGAGGGGCGGTGGCGATGGTTTTGCTGCGGCTGCTGCCGCTGCTGTTGCCGTTGCTGGTGTTGTTGTTGCTGTTTCCGGGAAAGAAGAATGGAAGGAGCTGGTGAGAAGATGGGGATGAGAAGAGAGGTTCGGACTTTCCCGGAGCTGCAGCAGATGGGAGTGAAGATGATCGCGGAGGAGTATGCACCGGTGGTGCATGGTGCGGTGCGGTACCATGGGGTGGTATATGGTGCGGTGGCGCATGGGAGAGAGTGTGAGCAGCGGCAGAGAGGAGCAGATTCCATGGGAGGTCCGAAGAGGTTTCGGAAGGGGAAGGCGTGGAGGGGAGAGAGGGTAGAGAAGGTACGGACGAAACAGGAGGAGCTGTGGGAGACAGGAGGGGAGGAGAGAGAGGAGGAGGAGGAGGAAGCATGCTGCTGCCCATAGTTAGGTCGGTTAATCTTGCACCGTTACCACCGAGCTTGTTGCTCTCTGTGCTATCTTTCATGTTAGCACAACTGCTGCTCTTCTTGATGCTACTGCCGCTTGCAATGCTATTGCTACTCCCACTGCCGTTCCCGCTCCCGGTGCTGTTATTCTTGCCACTGCCGCTGCCGCTGCCGCCGCTGTTGCTGTTGCTGCTGTGATGGATGTTGTTGTGTGGGTTAGGCAGCAGTCCGTGGCGAGTGAGGAGGCCGTTGAGGGTGAAGGCGAGGGTAGTGGCAGCCCACAGCAGCATCTGATTGTCGTGCTGCAACACGTGCGACTGCAGCACTGGGTGCTCCTGCGACGCGCGGAGGAAACGGGAGGGCGGGGAGGGGCGGAAGGGGTCAGGGGAGGGAGCGAGAGAGAGAAACGCATATGCAGAGAGTTAGGGAGTTAGGCCTAGAACTCGCCATATCTTTCCTTCTGCCAGCATTCTTTCATTCACCGCACGACTCTACCAGTTTCTGGAAAGCTCGGCTCTACCAGTTTCCATCTGTAAGACAGACTGACTGGCTGACCTGGAAGGACAGCACGCCGGGAGGCAGCACTTGCAGCGTGTGGGCGAGGTGGGCGCTGAGCTGCGCCCTCTGGTGCACGTCCACACACGGCGCCAGCGCACCACACCGCGCCACACTCGCAAACCGCGCGCGCAGATACGCCCGCCGCTCGTCCGCATGCGGCCCTGCACTCACCCCACCACCACCACCCCCACTCCCACTCCCACCACCACCAACATTACCGCCCCCGCTCCCGCACCCGCTGCCGCCGCCAGTGCCGCTACCGGCACTGCCGCCAGCAGCAGCACCGACGGCAGCAGCAGAGAAGGGTAGGTCAAGAGACGAGGCAGATCCGTTCATTCCTGCCATCCCTGCCATTCCTGCCGGCCATGGAGCCATGTCGCCCCATGCCTTCCCGTTGCTGCTCTCTCCTGGCCCAGCACCGCACCCACACCCACACCCACAGCCACCGCACGCATCCCCGGCGACACCGCCACCATCCCAGCCTTCCCCGCAGCCTGCCCCTCCCCCCGCGCTGCCCCCTGCGCCAACGGTGCAGTAGTCCAGCGGGATGAGGAAGAGGGGGGGCCGCGGGCGGAAGAAGAGCCCTGGCCAGAGCAGCGCGCGGATGAGGCGGTCAGAGAGGGGCTGGCGCGCGGAGCAGGGCACTATGACGTCCGCGCGCTGCAGCAGCTGCTGCAGGGCTGGGGAGGTCGAGACACTGGGCGTGCCGGGCGTCTGGATGGGTGGTGGGGGGGGAATGGGGGGGGAGGGAGATCGGGGAGATGGGGGATAAGAAGATGGGGGGGGGGGGCGGCGGATGAGGCGGTCAGAGAGGGGCTGGCGCGCGGAGCAGGGCACAATGACGTCCGCGCGCTGCAGCAGCTGCTGCAGGGCTGGGGAGGTTGAGACACTGGGCGTGCCCGGCGTCTGGATGGGTGGGGGGGGGGGGAACACGAGAGGAAGGTGGGGAAGGGGCCAGGGGAAAGAGGGCGCGGGGGGAGGGATGAGGGGAATGGGGGCATGCGCACCAAGAGCAGCAGCAGGGACATATACAAGAGCAACACGAGAAGAAAACACAAGCACCAGTGGCAGCGGCAGCGGCAACGCGAGCGGCAGTGGCAACGCGAGCGGCAGCGGGAGCGGGAGCGGGAGCGGGAGCGGGAGCGGGAGCGGGAGCGGGAGCGCGGCAGCGGCAAAACGCACATCGAAGAGGGTGTAGCCAGCAGGCAACCCAATAGCAGGCGACTCCAGCAGCAGCGCCTCCACAGCCAGGCGCTGCCCCTCCGTCAGCCGCGCAGCCACACTCCCCGCCAGCATCTGCATGCGCCCAAACACGCCCCCCTCCGCGCCCTCCACCTCCGCCTTCCCCACCACGCCCCCGACCACCGCCTCTGGCAGCTTCACCACTTCCGGCGCTACCAGACGAATTTTGCCGTCCACGACCGCGCAGCCGAAGCACTCGCGGAGGTACACGCGGAGATGGTGGGCCGCGCGGGAGGAGGCAGCATTGGGAGTACCGGTGCTGGTACTGGTGGTGCCAACAGCAGCAGTGCCATCTGTACTGGTGGTACCGGCGCCGATGCTGGTGGCAGTGCCGGTAGTACCAGCAGCGGTATTCCCAAGAGCAGCCGCAGCAGCGGCAGCAGCAGGGTCAGAGAGAGCGAGTGAGTCGACCAGAGAGGCGACGAGAGACTCGTACGCGGCGGGGGAGCGGGGGAGGAGAGTGGCGCGCAGGTGACTGGGGTCCGGGTGCTCTATGCGGCGCACTGCAATGGTGATGGCGGGGGTAGGCGCGGGGGACGCGGAGGGCGCGTGGGGGAACGGAGGCGAGGCCGCTGCAGCAGCGGCTGCTGCTGCTGCTGGAGCACTGCTGGCTGCAGCAGCAGCAGCAGCAGCAGCAGCTGCAGTAAAAGCAGAAGCAGGATGAAGGTGAGAAGGAGCGAGAGGAGGAGGAGTGGCGGACGGCGTGGGGGTAGCAGGAGGTTGGTGCATGTTGAGCAGCACTTGAGCCTGCTTGTCCTGCTGCGCCTGCACCCACTCCTGCCACCTGCTGCTCTGCTCACCACCCCCCACTGCAAACGGGCCCTTGCCTTTCCCCTTCCCCTTCCACTTCCCTTTACTGTCTCTCTCTTGCTCCCTGTCTTTGTCCCTGTCTCTGTCTCTGTCCTTGCGTGACTTGCTGCTCCCCCGTTCCTCGCCCTCCTTCCTGCCCTTGTGCCGCTCCTCAGCCTTCCATTTCTCCCCTGAACCGCCAGTAGCAGCAGCAGCACCACCACCACCACCACCGGACGACCCTTCCTTCTCCTGCTCTTGTTGCTGCTGCTTCCGCCGCCGCCTCTGCTGATGCTGCTTCTCCCCGTCCGCCCCTCCCCCTCCCCCTTGCCCTTCAACCCCTTCCGCCTCCTCTCTCCATCTCTTCTTACCACCCGACTCGCCTCCTCTCCCCTCCCTGCCTTCCTTTCCGCCTTTCCCATGCCTCCTCTTCTTTCCGCCTCCCGCCTCGTTCCCTTTTCCCTCCTCGCTTGCGGCAGCACCACCAGCCGCACCGCCAGTGGCAGCATCGGCGGCAGCAGCAGCAGCGGCAAAAGCAACAGCAGGCGCCAACCCTGCTGCTGCTGCTGCTGCTGCTGCGTTGCCAATAGGGGTACAGCATTAGCTCGCGCGGCTGCAGGGGTGATGGCAGCGGCGGTGGTGGCAGGCGTGCCAGATGAAAGAGGAAAAGGCCCTCGCGTTCCGTCACTGCCAGGGCAGACGAGACTGTTTATAACGAGGACAGGGCGGACAGAGGGAAAGACACGGGTAAGAGGGAAAGAAAACGGATAAGAGGGAACAAAAGGGTAGAGAAGATCAAGCATGGAGGAAACGGATGTGACAAACGGCTATGTAGGTAGGATCCGGTATTGCTGCCGACTGCGAGCTAGGTAGGTAAGATTGAATGCGATGGAAACGCAACTACAGCACGCAAGCCGATGCACAAGCCTGCACGAATATAGGAACACACACAGGCATATATACTGTCACACCCACCCCACACAGCCTCTCCCCTCCCTCAAATAGCAAGAACCCCCATATCTCACAATCACCGCAATCCCCTCACCCTTCCCCTCCCTTCCCCCCCGCTCTCTCTTTCCCTCTCGCCGCGCCCCCCAGCACTCACCGGTTCCCCAGGTGACTCTTCCCCGCGCCCGCGCCCCCCACAAGCACCACGCGCACGTCCCGCTCCCCCTTGGCGCGCACGGCGCGCTTCAGCTCCGCCAGGTACCCCGCCACCTCCTTGTGCTGCAAGCACGACTCGAGTTTCTCTGTAGCGAGGATGAGCTTGCGGATGAACTCGTCCAGCCCCGGGTGGTCGGGCGCGCGCTGCGTTCCGCCGCCCCACGGGGGGAGCTCCCCGCGCTCCTGGTTGGGGGGAAGGCGGGGGGAGGGGAGGGGGGGGCGGAGGGGGGGCGAGAAAGGGAGGGAGAGGCAGCGGGAAGAAAAGTAAGAGGGCGAGTGCGGGAGAGAGGAACGCGAGGGAGGGGGAGCAGGCGGGGTAGGGGGAGGGGAAGAGTGGTGGGTAGAATAACCATGGGCAGGGAGAAAGCGCACGCGTCTGTGTCGAGTCGAGGCGCTGAGCGTATGGCGCGCAGCGCAGCGCGAATGGCGCATTGCGCGCGGATGGCGCATTCGGCGCGCATGCTGTGCATGCGCTCAGCAGACGAACCGCACGACGACAAGCTTACATCACCTCGCCGCTTCATCCCCAACGAGTCCCCCATTCCCCCTGCCCGTCCCATTCCCCCCCCTCTCTCCGCGTTCCTTCCCAACCAGACCCTCCCCTCAAATCCCCAACCCGCACCCTCCTCTCTCCCGCTTCCACCCTCCTTCCCGCCCTCCCCCCGCGCGCCTCCGCGCGCCTACCCTTCCGCGCGCGCGACTACCCCAGCGCGCCTCCCGCGCCTCCCCCGCGCACCAGTTTGGGGACGACGACGTCGTGGATGAAGCGCTTCATGTGCTGCGCGCGCGCGCGGTCCTTGGTGGTGCGGTCCAGGAATCCCAGCGCCTCGCGCAGCGATATCACCGACATGAGATTCTTGCCCTCCTTGATCTTGTCGCGACTCCCCTTGAACGACGACCGGCTGCGCGCGCGCGGGGAAGGGAGCGGAGCGGGGGAGCGGAGCGAAGGGGGAGAGAGAAGGGAGGGGGGCGGCAGGAAGACAGAGGACGGGAAGAGGAAGGCAGGGAGAACAGGAAGCGGAAGGAGAGGGGAGGGTGGTGGAGAAGGAAGAGTAAGGGCCGGAGGGGAGAGAGAAGCGAGGAGGAGTTATAGTTGACGTTTCCAACATGTTACAGCCAACGACGGAACATCGTGATCCTCCAACCTTCCCCTCCCCCCTCCTCCCCTCCTCCCCCACTTCCTCCCTTTCTCTTCCCTCATTTCCCAAGCTCCAGTTTCGCGGACCCCGCTCCCCCGCAAGGCGCACCTGTTGCCAAGTTCCAACGCCTTGCCGATGCCATTATCTCCGCCCAGCTGGAAGCGCAAGCACTCGCGGATGCACCTTCCGCCTGCGCGCAACACACGGGGAGGCGGAACGGCGAAGGCGGGGAACGAAAGAGGGGAAGCGGGGGGAAGAACGGAGGAACCGGCGCAAGGCCAGAGGAAGATTGACCGGTGGCGCGGAAAGTGCGCGAAAGCGGCGTAGGCGGAAGGGGCTGCTCGAGCTGCGCCGACGGCGGAAGGACGAACGGGTAGGCGGAAAGACGGAAGGGGGAGCGGAAGGATCGGCGAGGGCGCGAAAGGATGGATGGACCGCGCAGAAGCACAGAATAGTTCAAAAAACACTTTGGGCCTTACCCAGGTCCTTAGGGACGTAGACGCGCAGAGCGGTGCCTTGGAATTCCGCCTTGTACGCGTGGAAATTTGCGGACGGCTGCGCCACAGCATGCGCGCCTCCGCGCTCCGCTCCGCTGGCGGAAATCCCGTCCGCCTTTCCGCCCACAGTCGCTGCGCTAGCGCCGCTCGCGCAAGCTCCGCCACCCTTTTTCGCCGCAAAACTGGCGCTGGCGGAGGCGGCGGGATGCGCCGACGCAGCGGCAGCGGCAGCGGCGGCGAAGCTTTCCGCAAACGGCCCCTTCATGGGTGCAGACACGCCAGCCGATAACGACGGTAACGACGGCGTTGCCCCTTTCCGCGGAGCCGGGTTTACGGCGAGAAAGCGCGCAGGCGGTTCCTCTTTCAGCGCGGGGGCTGGATAGCTCCGCCGGTGATGCGCGGGAGGCGGCCTGCGGGGGTTTCAGATAGGAAATAGAACGTCGGATGAGAACTGGGGACGTCGACAGGATAAGCAGGCGAAGGGGCCGGGGTAGAGATAGAAGGAGACGAGAGAGTAGACGGGCCGTACATCGGTGGCGGATGGAGGGAAGAGTAAGGGTGAGAAAAGTACGGGGGAGGGAAAGGGGAGGGGGATATTGCGGAGAGGAAGGGGAGATGCGCGCCAGAGGGCGACAAACGGCTTAGAGAAGAGAAATGCGATAGAATGACAGGTTGTCGCGGAAAGAAGACACGCCTTGCGAGGTAGCACGTTATTTGGACGGAATGAATGCACGAAGTGAACACGGAACAGTCGAAAAGGCGACTCGTAGAAAAGAGGGGACGAATGGCCATTGGCAGGACGGAACGGCCGGATAATGAGGCACGTCTGAGAGAACGAGTAGGGAAAGATTTGTGGAAAAGCATCACGCTTCTGCGGGTGATGCGTTTGCGAGGTGAGAGGATGGAACCGCAGAAGAACCTAGAGATCTCATCGACGCATCTCAACGACACTCGCTTCAGTCGAATCGCTAAAGCGTAAAGAGAATTTGGAAGCGGGAATGGCAGGATCTGACGAGATTCTTAGAGAGACACTGATGAGACGATCGGCGCGGGATTCGTACATTATATCCTTGTTGTTGCCGCTGAGATTATACCCAACTTCCTGTCGCGCCCTTTTCCCATTGGCACTGCTACCCGGCGTAGCATGCATGATGGACTACTATAGAATGCACTGAAGTCAATAATCTGTGGGCCGGACGGTACCCTAGGCTCGCAGGTGGACCCTCAATGCTAGATCTAACAGCTTCTACACGGTTTTCCTAAGCCGAGACCTGCATGCCCCCAGCGGCCACCGTGGGACACGCGTTTCCGCACTAAGAAACCGTTGAAACTGCAGCACTCCAGCGGCACGGCGATGGTAACATCGTACTTAATGGCTATCGACCGCAGAGACAGGCCTAGTGGCCATCGCTCCGTCACGGCTCTAACTAGTGGAGTAAAACGGACGGAACCCTAGACTCGCAGGTGCAGGTGTGACGAGTACAAGGTTCGACCCCTGAGTTCTCCCCGACCTGCCCAACTGACCCCCTGAGCCTGACTTCCGCCGACTCTCTGGCTCCCTCACTTCGTAACTCCCCCGACTCCCTTGGACAGCAAGATTTTTCTCCGCCAAGCAAGCAAGGAAGCACACGAACATGGATGCGTGGACGAGAGCAGCAATGCACGAGCTTGTGCTGGACGGGAAAAGGCACGCACGAGGACGGGCTGGGGGAAAGAGCGTCTGTCGGGAAAGATGGGGGTGGGAATGGGGGAGGTCAGCAGCGGATGGCTTCCCCGCCCAAACATTTGACGGTTCTGGGGTTCAGTTCGGTTGCGCGCTCCCCCGTCGGGGGTTGCCGATGGCGCAGCCGGTCAGGCTGGCGCCATCATCACCACCGCTCCCCCAAGTCCTGCGCGGAATGATAAACTGTAGGCTGGACTGTACAGCTGATGCTCACCCCATGCACGCGAATTTGCCTTGCGCCGGATGGATACGCTGCACCCGAGGTTGTTTCCCCAGCTTCATGCACCTACATTACAAGCGCGTCGCGTGGTTATCAACCAGTAGTAACGAACAGACCGACGTCAAACTAGGTACAGACCGAAGTCAAGCAGAGGAGACTGAAGTCAAACTAGGTTACAGATCTTGTTTATAAGCACATGCGAATCATTTTTAGCTAGCTGCGAATTGCCGAAACTTATGCGAAATGCTCGTGACAGCTTATACGCCCCCTTCGTAAGGCAACCGGGAGGGGCTCAAACAGGCATCAGGTGTACGGGGATTCCGCGTGACAGGTGTTCTTGTAGCTGAGGTCCGCCGAAGGTCATCGCCCTTTCCCACCGCGTTGGGCCGTGACCAGCCCGCGCTCACTGGTTCGACCCACGTGGCTGACCTCACCCACCTAGAAAGTTTACCGTGCGGTACACATGATGCCCGACCAGTGCACGCGAATTTGCCATGCACCGGATGGACACGCTGCCCCCGAGGTCGAAACCCCTGCTTGCTGCACCCCATGTACAGGCACTTGGATGGCTAACTACAGTACACGCGGCCCGGCCACCCCCCCACGTGCAGACCACTACAAGCAGTGCCGACCCATGTTTCCCTTGTTTCTAGGCCAGGAGTCAACCTGACGAAACGACTGCACGAAATGAAAGTGGTGTTGTAAATGCATTCGCACACCTGCCCCGCCACCTAGGCGAGGATCATGGTGCGTGTAGCAGACATATGGGCTGGTGCACGCTGCCACGTGTATTCCGCACTTGTGGGGTACAAGCCCATTAACAACCAGGCGTTGTTCGCCTACCCCACGTCAGATTTTCACCGAGGTGGTAACCCAACCACATGTTCGAAATTGTAAGCAGGGTGCATGCAACGAACGACCACCACACGAATCAAATCATCCACACCAAACAGGCCCCAGCCCTGATCAGCCTCGTGCTCCAACCAAAGTTAAAATTCGATGCACAGATTCACTAAAGCATCGTTCTTTCCCGTCACAGCCTCACACCATGCCGCGGTTTAATCGCCGTGAGCAGCTTCCGCTGCACATCAAGCGCGCATTATGCGCGCATCACGTCGAGCACCCCCTCCTGCGTCACGTAGATCTCGCCCGCTGGGTTTACGCCCAGTATGGCCTGCGACCTGACCGCTCGACGGTCGGCCGCATCTTGAAGAATGCCGAACGTTGGGCGCTCACCGAATCCACTGCCGCTAATCAAGTGCGCCGTCGAGGTGGCGCATGGCCTGAGCTTGAGCAGGCCATGGCGCGCTGGATCGCCAACGCTGGCCCCGCGGGCGTACCACTCACTCTGCAGACGATCCGCGACCACGTGGCGACCATGGCGCGCAACATGGGCATTCCGCCCGTGTTCCGTTGCTCCATTGGCTGGGTGCGCCGTGCGTTGCGGCGCCAGGGAGTGCGCTGCCGTGCTGCCACTGGCGAGGCGGCGAGCGCCGACATGGCTGCTGTGCGTGAAGCGCGTGAGAAGGTGCCGCAGCTTCTTACTCACCTCGGCTACAAGCCGCGCGACACCTTCAATCTTGACGAGACCGCGCTGTGGCTCTCTGTGCTGCCTCGGAAAACATACAGCAACGCCCGCATTCCCGGTCGCAAGGTCTCCAAGGACCGGCTGACCGTGGCGTTTCTCGTGAACGCCGACGAGAGCCATGCGTTCCGGCCGCTCGTCATCAGCAAGGCGCGCCGTCCTCACGATTTCCGGCCGGACTACGACCCCGAAGCCGTCTGCTACTGGCGGCACAACGCCAAGGGTTGGATGACGAGCGCGGTAAGTGTTTTCCGTCACCGTGATTTTTATTGTGCATGTGTTCTTATGACATTGTGTTATCGTGAGGTTTATTCCCCCCCCCCCCCCCCCCCCTCTACCTCCCTCCCCACCAATCCCCTCCAACAGTTGTTCACGCATTTTATGTCGCAGCTCAATGCCGCGATGTATGCCGAAGGGCGGCACATCGCGGTGCTGCTCGACAATGCGAGCTCCCATATGCTGCGGGACGAGTGCGTGTGGAGCGAAATCGTCTGCGGCATGAGGACCACCTGCCTCAGCAATGTGCGCCTCATCTTCCTGCCGCCGAACACTACCTCCTTCACACAGCCCCTCGACCAGGGGATAATAGCTACCGCGAAGGCCCGCTACCGCCAGCACTGGCTGCGGGCCTTCACGGCACTGTGGAACGACGACGGCGCCACAAGCGCAGTCGCGCGTTACCGCCCCAATCTGCGTGACGTGCGGGGTGGCTCTCCGACGCCTGGATGAGTGTCGGTGCGCGCACCATCCAGAGGTGCTTCTGGTGCACGGGCTGCCTGCCTCTGTCGTGGTCCCTGGAGCTCACTCATGTGCATGACGATGAGCCGACCCCCCATGCTTACCCCGACATTGAGCTCGACGACGACATCGACGACGTCGGCGAGCTCATAAGCGGACTCGGCCTCGGCACCGGCACGATGACCGCCGCCGAGTACGTCGCGATCGACGAGGGAGAGCCGACGTGCGCGGATCCGGCCACGGAGCCGACACCTGATGATGCAAACGTGGGCCTGGTGGCGGAGCTTTGGAGGGCGCCGACCACGATGCAGGCGGTCTATGACGACTCAGACCCCGTGGGCCGTGAGGCGCGACGCACTGCACGGGCGGCCTGCGAGATGCTCAGCGGCTACGCTCGCGCCGTGAGCGTGACCCCGCGCGACCTTTGCCACCTCTTCGACATCCGGAATCCGATCATCATTGAGCTCATGGAGCGGGCAAGCCCAGCGCTCAATCTCAACACGGCCCCGCCGCCAAGGCTTTCGCCGAGCGCAACTCCGCCGCCACACACCCCGCGTCCGCGGGGCCGAGTGCTGCCTGGCTGGATGACCCAGCCGTCCCGCCGTCAGCAGCTTCTGGACGGCGGGGTTGGCGCCGCGATGGGCGGGTACGTGGAGGCGGCAGAGTGGATGCAGGTGTGAGTTGGAATTGAAGACTCATGAGCAGGAGTCGGAGGTTGGGATCGGGGAGTATTTGAGCATTCGTGAAGTGTTGGGATTGTGCACATAACGGGCACATTTGCAGTAGAGGGGATGTTGTTGAGCTCGGGGGTGAATGGCCATGTGGTCGAATGTGATTGGCCCGGCTTTGTGTGTCAGCTGTTTCAATCTAAGTTGAACAAATGTTGATGTTGCTTCATGGGTTTGTTTTGTTTTCGTAAAGATTTTGGTAACGCGCACTTGTGACAATATGTGCCAACTCACACTGTTACATAACGGACAAAGATAGTGGTAACCAGGTGCGCATTAAATGCACGCGCAAAGCCTGACGAAACCCTCGACGAACCGACGAAATGACGTTTTAGCTTACAGTCCCCCTTCACAAGGCAACCGGGAGGGGCTCTAACGAGCATTAGCTGTACTGCCCCTTCGAGCTCGGTTGGGTTGCGAGCGAGATGCCATCCTCCCGTCTCATCAACCTGCCCGTTCCGCAGCGAACCCATCCACATGTGTACATGTAGACGTTTGGGACCGGGGGTAACAGAACAGTTCCATTCCAACGCAGCAGCCAGGAAACGACGATGACAACTACTGTACAGTGGCAACACGAAGAGGAAGCGGTTGGCTGGTAGTACTGTACCGTAATGAATCGCGAATCGCTATCCAGCCTGAACCCCAATAAGCTTTCAGGAATCAATACAGTGCAGAACAGTACTTCCAGGAAGCCTCGCAGCCAGCTAGGACTTGCCCCATGACGACAAAATCGTAGGACAGCTCACAAGAGGGAGCAGCGCTGAGTTGACAGCGCAGCTGCATTGGCAAGGGGAACAGAAGAGCCACAACGCACCCCAGGACAGACATGACCACGCAATACCCCAAATCCCTTCAGAGATGCCTCGGTCCCGTGTTGAATAGTTCGCTAGGGCTTTGGGAAAACTTTCTGTGCCGTTCAGTTTCCATCTCTGGACGTCATTCTCATATCACATTCACACGTCATTCTCATATCACATTCACTGACTACCCATCTCGACCAGACTAAATAAAGAGGGGTTCGTTGTAAAACGTGGAGCATCAAATTGCGCCGCATCTCAAATGAAAAGGACGATTCCCGATTCTCGAATTACACGTACACCTACAAATATTCCGGGCTGTTTTCTGGGAGCTCAGGTCAGGTCAGCAAGTTTTGGCTCAGGTCAGATGATGCCCCCTTCGTTGTTCGATCGCTGACCTTCAGAAAAGCCCAACCCAAAACATCTTCCGTCTGTAATCAATCAGAGCCTACCACTGTAGTTGATTCCCTCTCCCACGCAGCAGTGCACAATCAAGGTTTCGCAGGTTCTATGATTTCCAATTTTCGGCAAACCCCCACCACGGGCAACAAATGCTGAATAATGATGATCTGGAGTCTGGACGCAAGTGCCTCCTCAGTACACCAAATTTTCATCCATATGTGTACTTTACGATAGTATCCATAAACTGAAATGTTTACGCTTGCCCACTCTATAAAGGACATGTGGGCCATAGCCATGCATAATCTGAATACGCAGCATTGTGTTTAAAACCAGGGTCTCAAGTAAAACGAGTGTTTTGCAGTTGGCGGTAGGAGGTTGACTGAGATTGGTTGGCGAGGTCCAAGTTTAGAGGAGGGGTGAAGCGAAGGTTGCGAAGCGGATATAAATCGTTGGTGTGTGTCCGAACCAATTAGGCTCGGAAGTTGGTGTGGGCCGAAGCTAAACTGCCAACAACTTCCGACAGCCCAGAAAGTACCAAGCAAAAAGCAGAATGTTTTGCAATTGCTCGTGGGGCAAAAACTGGGGTGTGTCTCACACTACTTCCCAGGCCAACCAGTCTGCTTGCCAGCTACAAACAGAGTAACGGAGGGTCAAGTGTTTCGCAATTGACGCCAGATTCTCTTACTTGAGACCCTGGCTTTAAGGAACCTTTATGGTGTGTAAGCTTTCAGGTTTTCCAAGTTTCTATCGTCATTAGTCATTTGATTACAGTCCACCACTATGGCGAACCTTTAGGCCAATAAGACAGTTCTGCAATTATCACATGCACGAAAAGCTCATCAAATCCGCCCGCACCAGAGGTGCTAAAAACAATGAGGTGTACATTTCAGCACTCATGTAGACTGCTGAAGTCAATCGCAGAGAAAAAAAAAAAACTACTGTACAGTAGTGTACACATTGAGCCAAACGTTGCCGCCTTAAAGAAGTCCACATCGGCACTTGAAAAGCCGAACTTTCTCGAGAAGCTACAGAAGCTCTTCCTCAATCGTCATGGAAATGTCCCACATCAGACCTACTTACTTTTCTGTTTCAGCAAAATGCCTGGTACTTGTAGCTCTGCACCACGCTTAAGTTCTATAGATCCGGGTGTACCAGTGATTCCTTTCATGAGATCGGGCCCAGCAAATCAGCCTGGAAATCATGGTTTATAAGTACACTTCTGCATCAATAGATGCCAGTAGAAACAGTCATTGCCAGCAAACAACCTTCTGCTGTCTAACCAGATCCCTCGAACAGTCGGGAAACTGTGACCGATAATCGTGGCCGAAGAACAGTTTCTCCTCACGGGGTCAATCCTCGCACCGAAATCAAAGAAGCGCAGAGCGGATCTGTCAAATGTAATCGAATCTCTACAGAAATAACCTCACGACGAGATGAACACTGCCAGTAGTTCGGTACTACCTCCTATGTGTACCCAGAAGCTTCTGTGCAAGTTTTGTCTTTGAAGAAACCGTAAACCTATACCTTACTTCAAAAGCCCCAACAACCTTCAAACACTGATTCATATAGGGGTACCACACGGTACCAGCATGCAGGTACTCTGGGTTCTGCAGCAAACATTACTGCTACAGAAGCTAACTCGAAATGCAGATCAACACAAATGATGTGCTACAACCATACCAATCTTGAGTACTTCTATTCTTATTGAGCAGCAGCTACGGAATTCTGGAGCGTGTGGAAAGACAGACACGTCACGTGCTTCTATCGAGGTGCTCGGCACTTGTAACACACAACGAAACAAGCGAGCTCCACACCACCATCGCTTCCTCTTACACTGCTGCACCTTAAAATAATAATTCCCACCCTTGAAAGAAATCGCTCCAATCGCTGCAGGTGGGAGAAATATGCTCTCTCTGCATATTTACCACAGATGCACGGTACGTGCAGCTGTGTGTATGCATGACCATGTATACTGTGTATTTGCACATGCCTATGTGTGCACGCGTGTGTGCTTTTGTGTGTGCGGGGGGGTTGAACCTACGGTACTTCCCTTGCACCCTCGACACACGACTCATTACCATCCCCAATAGCTGCTAACTCCAGGTCCCCCTCCCCACCCCAACCAACCAACCCAGTGATTCTCCAAACCAGAATCACTTATCGAGTGATTATCCACAGCTCTGGCCGCCCATGCTAGTAGCTCCAATACGCACCCCACCCCCTCACCCCACCCCAACCAACCCCACCCCACCCCACCCCACCACACCACACCCCCCCTCTCCTTTCCCTCCTATCCACCTTCCCTATTACCCCATCACCTTCCACCTGTTGCTCGGCAGGGAAGCAGCCGGAGGCAGCAGGGAGAGCGACCGGAAAGGGCAGTAGGAGGTGAGGAGATGGAGACAGGTGTGGGAGGAGTCAGGTGGTAGGTAGCAGACGATGGCAGCAGTCAATGAGGGGGATGCGAGGAGGAGGGTGTGAGGAGGGTGTGAGGAGGGGGGTGCAAGGAGGAGGGTGCGAGGAAGGGAGGTGCGAGGAGAAGGGTGCGAGGAAGGGAGGTGGGAGGAGGAGGGTGTGAGGAGGGGGGTGCGAGGAGGAGGGTGTGAGGAAGGGAGGTGGGAGGAGGAGTCAGGTGGTGGCAGCAGGTGGTGAGAAAGCAGCTGTGAGGACAGCAGGGGAGACTGGGGGAATGGAGGCTACGCACTGAAACTGCTTTGGGGGGAGGGGAGGAGAGGGGATAGGGGAGAGGGGGAAGGGACATGGAAGAGAAGGGTGGGAGGAGGAAGAAGGGAGGGAAACATGGAAGGGGAGATGAAGGACGGTGAGCGTGTGAGAAAGGAGAGAGGTGGAAAGCAAGAGAAAGAGTGGAGAGAGCAGGGCGACAAGTATGTGTAAGGCCGAACGAACGGCAACAACGCAATAAGAATCACGCACGAGTCAAGAAACTTACATTGCTGACCTCAACGGCACAGAACCTCAACCTTGCTGACGTTCAGCCACAACCACAGTCGCTGTGCAGAGAAGCAGAATCACCACCACCACCACTACTGACAACTCCACTGCTACCACCAGCAGCAGCACAACACGACACACACGCACGCACGCATGCACGCACGCACGCACGCACGCACGCACGCACGCACGCACGCACACACGCACGCACGCACGCGCGCACGCACGCACGCACGCACGCACGCACGCACGCACGCACGCACGCACGCACGCACGCACGCACACACGCACGCACGCACGCACGCACGCACACATGCACGCACCTTGGCTTGGCTGTATTTGGCCCCGATGGCCGGCAGAGTGGTGGACGGCACGGCAACGTGCAGCGCATGCAGCACCCACACTGCCTGCTCCAACTCGCACACGCTGTACCCCGTGTAGTGCTGCAGGGTTGGCGTCTGGTGGTCAGAGAGGGGGGGGGGGTAGGGGAGGAAGGAGAGAGGCTGCTTTGCACCTGAAATGTCCCTCCTGCAGCTTGCACACGCTGTACCCCGTGTAGTGCTGCAGGGTTGGTGTGTGGTGGTCAAGCCAAGGGAGTGTAGTGGAGGAAGGAGTGAGGCTGTGAGTTTTGAGGCGCCTCAAAAGCTGCCTTGCACTTGAGATCTCCCATCAGCAGCTTCTGAAAGCATTTCCCATCATTACACTACGTGTAGTGCTGCATGCACGGAGGGTACTACTGACCCTGCGTTGTGCTGGAAAGGTGTCTGACGCAGGTGCTAAATGGTGGCAGTCGAAAAGAGGAGTAGCAGGGAAAGAAGGGGTAGAAATATGCGGCTGGAGGCATGCTTTGGAAGGCCCGATAGCAATTTGCGGCCATTAGTGGGGAAGAGCTAGTTCCATGGAATAGAATGGCGTGTGGAGAAGAGGAGAGGAAAAGGGGGAGTGTGTATGCAGGGTTAGGAGAGGGGGGGTGATGAGGAGTGAGGAGGAGTGAAGAGTGAGGGAAGCGAGGGGGAGTGAGGAGTGAGAAGTGAGGAGTGAGGCGTGAGAGGAAGTGAGGAGGAGTGAGAGGGAGTGAGGAGGAGTGAGAGAGAGTGATGAGGAGTGAGAGGGAGTGAGGAGGAGTGAGGCATAGGAGGGCGTAAGGAGCGATACCCAGGGTGGGAGCGAGGGGAAGAGCGTGAGCTTGGCGAGGAAGACAGCTGCGGCAGCCACTTGCGAGGGCAGGAAGGCCACACACGCGCAGTCCAGCAGCGTCAGCTCCGCCAGGAAGTTTCCCAGAAACTCCAGCTGCAGTGATGGGGCCTGCATGGGTGGATGGGTGATGGGTGGATGGGTGCGAGCGATTTGAGCGGGAGGGTTAGGCGGCTGAGGAGTGAGCTCGTGGGGTGAATCGGACAAGGAAAAGAGGAGAGTAGAACAGTAGGGGTGAAGAGAAAAAGGGAGATGGAGAAATACAAGCCAGCTTACCTGGAGCGTCACTTGTGCTGCCCGTATGAACCGCCTGAGGTGATGGGATGTGGGGAGAGGGAACACGTGATGAGAAACCTCAAAATGCGGATCCAGATGCGCGTGGCATGATTGATTGGCCTGGTAGCGATTAAATCGATGTCGATTTACCCCTCCCCTCCCATCACCACTAACCACAAGTGCATGCACAGGCACAGGCACAGGCAATCGTCTTATATGTATAAGCATTTTATATTGAGAATAAGCTCTGGAAAGAAGGACCCGAGCGGACCTGAGAAAGCTCTTGGTGGTGGGCGTGGCAAGAACGAAGTTGAGCTGCAGCAGCACCCGCCACTCCATGTCTATCACCTGAGGGGGAAGCACGTAACGATCCCAGGGCCAAACCAGCAGGGAGACGAGGGGGGAGGAGGGGAAGGGCGTTGGATGGGTTGTCGTAGAGAAGGGGGTTTGGTGGGGTGGATTTCACTTGTGAGAGAGATCAGTCCTGTTGGGAACGTTCAGTCCTTGAGAGTGATCCAACAGATATGCATCAGGCACGATACATGCATATCTTCTACATCTTGGAACGAACGATATGCATCAGGCACTCACGCCACCCCTCTCCCTTCTCCTCTCCCGTCATTCCTCAACCCAGTCGAGGGTGCGAGGATTCAAACCCTGCAACCCCACCGCTCATGCAACCACAGCCACCCTGAGATGAGAACCGGTGAGCAACACAGCAAGCAGCGCTGATGCTGATGGAACGACAAGCCAGCGCGCATAGAATAGAAGCCAGCCAGGCAGGCAGGCAGCCCTCATCCCCTAGAAGAGCAGCACCTCGTGGCACAGTAAGAAGAGGTTCGACCGCAGCAAGCCTACGGATCTCGCATGCTGAAAGAACTAAATCTATTCTCCGCGTACTAAGGGTAGTCTAGGTAGAGCTTGAAAAACCGGGCAGAGTAGAAGACATATAGTCAACTAGTAATTCTGAGGCGTACGCGCGTTTCGGCCGGAGCCTTCATCAGCGCCATCTCAGTTTTACAAGAGTGGCTAAGATCTCCTTTTCTACCCTCTATCCTTGCTCTACCCCGAAATTCCCCAGGTACTAGTCCCAAGAGCGGTCTGCCAGCTATTCATCTAGCTGGGTGCCGTTGTAACTCGCCATGCAGAGTTCTGCCAGCTATTCTACCAGCTACGAATTCAATTCCACACCTACCACGAATTCAATTCGTCAACTACCATGAATTCAATTTGTTGACCTCGAGGTAGATGCATCCCCGCTTGAGAAGCGCCCTCTTACCAGAAAGTTGTGTAACTTTCGTGGTAATCTCCAACCAATTACGAATCTTGGGAGTTGTAGTCCTTGCGTATGATTTTTGAGAATTCTCAAAAATTCCCCCAATCCCAAGTCCAATGTTTTTGGACATCTTCTTACCTTCCAGGATTGGGGGGCCTCCCTTTTCAGTTTGTCTCGGCAGGAACGGAGCAGGTTGTGTCGATCTTGGAATTTGACTTGATTGAAGATTGGCCGGAGGAAGTAGTCCGGGTATCCTCTTGCCTTCAGCCTGTTGAAGAAGAGTACCTTCCGCTCCCAGAAGGTGTTGAACGAGGAGTTGCGAATGCAGTGACGTTTGAGCTCACTGGAGATAAATCCCTTCTTGCATTCCCTTGAGTGAAAGGAAGAGAAGGGAATGTAGAAGTAGCGATTCAGAGGTTTCTGAAATGTCGCCAAGTCAAGAATCCCGTTCTGTTTGAAGCGGTCTCCTCAAAAATCTAAGCAGCACCTCGTGGCGACGGTACGTGTTGTCCGTGATGTAGCAGAACTCGTCCACCTGCGGCGCGTATATCTCCTCGTACTTGCTGCCATGCCATGCCATGGGGACACGGAGGGGCGGAGGGAGAGGAGGGGGCAGGGAGAGAGAGGGAGAGAGGGTGGGGCAGGGAAGAGGGGGAAGAGGGAGTGGGGAGGAGAGGGCGCAGGAGGAAGGGAATGCGTGATTGGGATGGGATGGGAGGAAGTGGGAGAGGCGGCGCGGAAACGAGTACGGAGTGGGAAGGGCAGGTCATGGGCACGAGAGGGAAGGGGAGGGCGACACGGGGAAAGAGGGAGCGAAGAGAGGCGGGCCGTAAGAGGCGATGAGCATGGCGGCGATGGCGAGGAGAAGAGAGTGGGGGAGAGGACGGCAGTGCTTCTCACGAGGCGATGAGCAAGAGGAGGGGAGAGGCGGGCATTGCTTACGAGGCGATGAGCACAAGCGGGGGGAGGGGGCATTGCTTACGAGGCGATGAGAAAGAGGAGGGGGAGAGGCGGGCAGTGGTTGCTTACGAGGCGATGAGCATGGCGGCGATGCCGAGGAGCTGCAGGTGGTTTTTGGTGACTTGGGCGTGGGAGAGGAAGCGGTCAATGTAGGCGGCGGTGAGGAAGAGCGTGTCGGGCACGAGGCGGTACTCCTCCGCCACCTCCACCAGCCAGTCCATCAGAATGCCCCGCATCGCCGCGCTCACCTCGCCCCCCCGCCCCTCCTCCAGCGCCATCACAGGTCGGTGCCGCCGCTGCAGGGGTCGCGGGGGTGCCGGGGGTGGTGGGAGATGGGGGGTAGAGGGGAATGAGGGGTGAAGAGGGGGGAGGGGACGGGGCAGAGGGGATGGCGGATGGGGGGAATGGGGAGGGGAAAAATGGGGAGGGGTGGGGGAAAGGAGGGAAGGGGAGACAATGGGGGGGATATGGGGAAGGAGAGGGTGAGGGGAGCGGGGAGGGGGGATGGTGGGTGGATGAATGGAAGAGATTTGCAGGAGCGGAAGCAACCGGGCATGAGTTCTCCATAACTGTAGAACATGCATCCAGGAACAAGGAGAATACAGCGGCTCATTGAGCATCGGCTCACACCTTACCTCACCTCACCGCGCAGCACCGCTCTGCGCCGCGCCTCACCTCGGCAATGCGGAGGTAGGCGTGGATGTCAGCGGCATAGGGCGTGCAGAACTGCGGGTCGCTGTCATTACTGTCTATGTCTATTATCTGCTGCTCAAGTGATGGCGACGACAACGGCGGCAGCAGCAGCGGTGGTGGTCGCGGTGGTGGTGCTTCTGTTGGCGGTAGTGGCAGTGGTGTTTCCTCCGCACCACCATCGCCTTCCTCCCCCCTGTCCTCCTCCTCCTCCTCCATTCCCTCATCCCCGTCCCCGTCTTCCGCCCGCTCCTCTGCCACACGCTGCTGCAGCGCCACACCTTCCCCCGTGCGCTGTGCTGCCGCAGGGCAAGGAGGGAGAGGAGGGAGAGGAGGGAGAGGAGGGGGAGGAGGGGGAGGAGGGAGAGGAGCGGATCCTTCTCTTGCAGCGCTGCTCCACACACACGGGCCATTCTCGGGGATCGTGGGTGGTCTCTGCAGAGATTGACTCAGCACCAAGTGCTCTTCCTCGCGGATTGACTCGGGCTTTGCGCGTTCGCCCTCCTCCCGGCGTTCCCCCTCCTCCCGGCGTTCCCCCTCCTCCCGGCGTTCCCCCTCCTCCCGGCGTTCCCCCTCCTCCCGGCGTTCGCCCCCTCCTTCTCCTTCTCTCTCTCTTCCACACTCACTCTCTCTCACACGCGTGCTTCTTCCCCCGCACTCACTTTCTCTCCCACCCTCACTCGCACCCCCACCCTCACTCTCTCTCCCGTGCGTAATTTCTCTCCCACCCTCACTTTCTCTTCCACCCGCACTCTCTCTCCCACCCTCAATCCCTCTCCGTCCCTCATTCTGCCTCGCACACTCACTCTCCATCGCACATCCCCCCCCCTCTCGCCACGGTTCCACCCCAGCACCAGCAGCACCAGCATCACCCGCACCATCCCTCCTTCCAAACCCCCCCAACCCCCTTCCGCCCCCATCCCTGCACCCACCCCACTCCCCATTCCCATCTGCGCCCCTACCACCGACACACTGACTTTCCCCATGCCCCAAACCCATTTGCACCCCCATCCCCATCTCCACGCCCACCCCCAACCCGACCCGCGTGGGAGGGTCTAGAGTGAGAGGGCTGGGAGAGAGAGAGAGCGCGTCTTCCGCCTCCTCCTCTGCAGCCAGCAGGAAGCACTGCTCCCGCCACTGCCTCAGCCCCCCGCCCGCTGCTCCCGCTACTCCTGCTGCTCCCGCTGCTGCCGCTGCTCCCGCTGCTCCCGCTGCAGCAGCAGTGGCGGCGGCGGCCGCAGCAGCAGCGTCAGGGGCAGTGGAGGGAGCAGGAGGCACGGCGGTAGACGCAGAGGGGGGCGCAGGAGGGCACGGCAACGAGGGGGGAGCGGGGAGCATGTGAGGGTCGGGTGCACGCAAGTGGGAGGGAGCAGGGGCGGGGCGAGAGGTGCGAGAGGAGGGGAGAGTGGCGATGCTTTGTCCAAACACATAGACATGGCGGGGGAACGAACCCCCCCTTGCTGCTGCTGCTACTGTTGATGGTGCTGCTGTTATCTGCAGTGCTCTTCCTCCTGCTGCTGCCTCCGTCGCGCCTGCTTGCTGTATCGGGCGAGCAGAAGTAAGTGCAGCATTCAAAGCGGCTGCCTCCTGTGCTGGCCCGCACAATGGGGAGGGCGAGGGGGAACCGATCTGCGCGCACAGACAACCGGGGGGGTGATTTGGGGAGGAAAGGCGCAAGGGGGGAAAGGAGGGGGGAGGAGAAGGAGGGGAGGTTGGGTTTGGAGGAAGTAGAGGGGGATAAGGGGAAGAGGGGGAGGGGATTCTGTCCTTGTAAGGCACGCACGCAGAACCCAAGCGCGCATTGACAGTTTCTCTTGTGAGACATCTCGGTAAGCGTCTCGTCTCGGGATCTCCATCTTGACACCCCTGCATTCCACATTTTCCATCGCCCGCAACGGCAAGCAAGCAACAAGCAACTACCCACTCCACTCCATTCGCGCGCCCACCCACCACCTACCCTCACTCTTTTGGCTGCGAAACTCCTAGTATCTTCCCACCATGCCTTGCCTCCTCCCCCTCCCCCTCCTCCGCCTCCGCCTCTGCCGCCGCTTCTGCTACCGCGTTCTCCTCCTTCTCCTTCTCCTCCTCCTATGACGTCCCTCCCGCTTCTTCTTTCGTCGGAATTGTTTCTTTGTCGATCCACGCTCTTCCCGCTCGCTTTCCCTCCCTCTCGACTCACCCTTTCCCTCCGTCCCGCCTTCTCTCCCCCGATACTATCTCCCGCACCGCCAACGCGCCCCCCTCCGTTATTATAACCATCACGCTCAGTCACATTCTTCAGATCCATCAGCGCAGCTCGCCGCTTCCTCCCGCTCTGCCACGTGTCCTTCAACCCGCCAGTCGCGGCCCCTTCCACGTCACCCAACGGAGACGCTTCCAGATCCGCGAGTCGACGGTCAGGATTAATCTTGCTGCTTTCTCCTGGCGCTAGTTGTTCCGTTAATAAGGCGAGACCAGAGGAGTGCTGCTGGATATTAACGAGGTTTCCTGACACAGATGCGCAATTTTCGTAGTGGAGATCGGTTCGAACAGCCGCCGTTGGCGCCGCCAATGCCGCAACCTCTTGCGACACCCCGCGCTTCTCTTCCCCGCCGGGGCTTTCAGCGGGAGCAACACCCCCGCGCAACGCGCCAGATCCTTCCGCCCACGCCTCCGCGCTGGCCAGTTCCACCTCCGCGCGATGGGTGCTCAAATCCGCACAACTGCTTGCGCCTGGCGCGGCCGCAGCCGCGCTACCGCCGCCTGTGCCCGCGCCCGCGGTTTCTTCCGCCGCTTCCGCCTTAATTGGCCACGAGTCCGCCAAAGCGTCCGCCAATTGCTGGTTGGCGCACGTGTTTCGCACAGTCATGTTCCGCAGGGGGGAACCAGTGTGGGATAGGGGGGACCGCGGGTCACAGCGGTGCGCAGCGGAGAACAACGGGACTGCGGGGATGCGCGGCGGGGGACTGTGGGCTTGGGGACTGCGGAGACTGCGGGGGGCAACACTCGGTGACCGCGCTACAGAGTCTGCGGCTCGCGCTCGTTCTCCGCTTTCAAAACTAGCCCTGCGTATCGGTCAATCTTCCGAGTTCTAAAGGCCTCGCTTCGTGGCGCCCCGGAAACAAATAATACTAACGGTGAGCTTGACTCCTGACACCCGACTTAGCTCCTAGTACGAGAGCTAAAACCCGGTCCGTCTCCGTCATCCGTTATCCGTCTCCGTTATCCGTCTCTGTTATCCGTCTCCGTCATCTGTCATCCATCACCCTCGGATCACACGTTGGACCGACGTCTTGGCGACGAGCGACGGATGACGGATGACGGCGACGGTCGACGGACGTCTGTTTTCGCGAACCTTCAGGAGAGAATCTGGAATGCAATGCTGATTCAAGATCAGCTTTTTCCCGCGTGCGGTGGACAAGGATTTGACGAGTTGCTCATATGATGTGGAATCGAACAACCGCTGCTGTGCTAGTTAAAGCTGGTCGCAAGAGACAACGAACCGAGTCCTTTTGCTGCTGCTGGATCTTGAGTTAAGCGCGAACAGATGGTCCGCCGGCCGGGAGGGCAGCGGGGCCGGCAGGGACGATGACGGCGCACTAATGCCCTTGTTTGCTAGCGGCAAATCCGTGAAGAGCTGAGTAAATTAAAGGAGCGCGGACCCATGACTGACAATGCGTGAGTGCGCTGTTCCTGCGCTTCTGGTTCCAGGGAACAGCAACGGAGTGAACTCCTCCACGATGTAATTGCTTGTCCAACGCGCTTAGAAATCAGGAGATCACGTAACGGTGGTCATTACCATGACTATCATTATGATCATCAGGACCGCCCTTAGATGATGCGTCGACGCAATTCATCTCGTTCAGGCAAGAGATTCACGTCATTTCTGCGCTGCGACTCCAGAGCCGGGCATTCTGTAATGCGCATTATTTAGCGGCAGTAGGCCGCGCGTCATCCTCGAAATTGTAGGAAATGCGAGGACGGGGATTAAGGCCAAAATGTGCGATTTGCTGAAAGAGAATGAGGAGGGGAAATCTGAATAACGATGAAAGAAAAGGGCGAATTATGGAAATAATGGGAACGCGGTGTATGAGCGGGAGGGAGTCGCGAGGAGAAGCTTTGCGGGATAGACCGCAGAGGCATGTATGTAGCTCCAAAGGTAGCAACGGGGAATGTTCAGCGGCGGTGATAATTTGTTGTGTGTAGAGTAGAGGACAAGAGAAGAGGGCGAGATGGCATTGCATTGCACAAAAAAGGATGGCATGTAAGGGAGGGAGGGACGCATGCGACCAGCAGGAATGCCAGGGCAAGTGGCTGGCAACCACCATTCATCCCATCCCACCCTGCCGCGCGACCAAGTTCCCTGTGACGTGAATTCACCGTGTGAAATTTAGGCCTGCAAGGTATGTGTTCCAGTTCACGAGTGTACACTGTATCGCATTTAAAAACTCCTCTGTGCTTCGGACTTACACATCACCAGAACTCAGGCATAAACCGGCCATTTTCAGGTGCATGCAGCTTAGTCGGGAAATACTGTTCAGGTGCATGCTATCCCGTCGTGTTTCTCCTTCTGTTGCCACTGTTTGTACACATTCGCCACAAACAACACTGTTCGTCAGGGGATGCAACCCGCTCAACAGAAGCAGCACACGCAACACACGCAACACACAAAATCGGCCTCACAGGGAAGCCCGAAAAGAGGGGAAAAAAAAAACAACTCCTAGGGAAACCTGGATTCTGTTCGGTAAGTATCAACCCAACACACGGGAACCCCCTGGTGTTTCGGGTTGATATTCCGTAAGGCAGTGGAAGGAAAAAAATTATTTAAATGGAAACTAGGGAACCTGGACACAGTTTACGGGAGTTTCAACCATAAGCACGGGAACCGCCCTGGTGTTTAGGGTTGATTTCTCCCTAGTCGCATACGTTCCCAATTGGGTATTATTATTTTTGCCCGTTTTTAGTCAGGTGTGTTGCGATATGTATCGACCTTGCTCGCAGTAAGGCTGCGACTGGTGTGGTTGGACGACGAGTTCGTGCAGGGGCTGCGCGAGTGGGTGTCAGTCGCATGGGTAGCATCCTCTGATAGAACAGTGTATTTCGTGGCGGAGGTGTACAAACACAAACAACAGAGGGGAGAACACGACGCGATAGCATGCATCTGAACAGTGTTTCCCGACTAAGTTGCATGCACCTGAAAATGGCCGGGCATAAACAGTAAAGTACCTACGGGGAACTACAGTGCAGCGGTAGAAAGGAAATGCAAAACTGCTGTCGTCGCATGCGAGGGGAATCCAGACTCGTGTGATTGTCGATCGATCCGCACCGCGACACACTCTGCTTTGTAAATTTTAACAAGGCTACCCTTTCAGTGTATCACATCACACAAATTCAGTGCCCCATTTCCAGGTTGGCTGGGTGCAGCTTTACAGTGCATTCAATCATTTGCTGGTGCTTTCAACCTCTGGTGCTCTGCAAACTGCTCTTGCTGCATTTCTTGTTGCGTTCGTCTCACCCAACACTGAAAAACAACGGGCAGACGAACTGCATGTGCATTCCTAAATTGTCTAGACTTGTTGTGATCCTCAAATGAAACATCGTGCTTTTGTCGTTTGGTGTTCTTTTTTTTCAAGGGCGCAGTACCCTATATCCCCTATATGTATACATCTGTCGTAACTGAGGGGGCATCGGTGTAGTTTGGGCCAGAATCCGGTCAAGGACACCGAAGGTGGCACCGAAGTCAGCTCGATATCAAAGAACCCAATGAATGCTGAGCACGCCGTACTAAGACAGACCTTCACGGTTCCTAAATCCCCCCGAAACCAGGTTGTACAACAGGGTGTCTCTGTGTGATCCCAGAGTTTTTTTTTTCCATCATCCATCATTTGTATGTTATACAACACGTACAAACATGGACACATAGACCATAACTACCCCCTAAACAGCCCATCCGGCAAATTTTCACAAGCAATCAGAAGGTTTCGATTCCGTCATTGCGAAAATCCGGCGAATCTGGCAAACTGCGACAAGAGAAGAGCCCCATTGTGCATGGACGGCCTTGTTGACAGCTTGCACTTTCGCAGCATCTTAGACGAGCCGCCGCTTTTTGTTCCCTAGCTGCTCCAAGGACCAATGGCACGCATGATGAACGGGAAGGAATTGGCACCATCGCTGTGATTGGAGGACCTTTCACAGACTGACATGGTGGTGTTGTCACAGTAATGTTGTGTACAGTAGGTCTTGTGGCTTCTGTGGGAAATCGAACCGCCCCAAGCTTTGATGTACAGTACAGCGTTGCTGTTCTGTAGCGCACATGTGAGGCTCGGCATTCCTCGCATATCTGGCTCAGGTCAGGAGACTGTCGAGCCGTGAACGGCTGACTTGTTGCTGAGTGATTGGCCACATTGGGAACACCGCACTCGACGTCTGGTCAAAACCTTCTGATTTGACTTTACCGAGTCTGTTAGTACAGTGCGTTCGTCGTTCTGTGTGTCAGCAACACTGTTTGCGACAAAAAGTGCCATTTATACACTACAAGTGTTCATGATAGATGATGTGGTATGATCCGCTAAATGGCATCATATACACTGATATGCCAAATGAATTTGGCGAATGACCCGTTACAAGCCTGAAACGGCATCGTATACACTGATACGCCACACAGCACAACACAATCATTCAGCAACAAACCGCCTCTTTCGCCTTTCATCCGTTACAACGGCCTGTCTTTCGCATGACTGAACCGCCTGACGTTGCTCCCGTCTACCATGGCGTCAAAATTGGACGGACAGCCGCTCCTTCACGGCACAACCGTTTGTGTCACAGGCGTTCCGAAAGGTACGTGGGAGCTTATCGCGGATGTGGATCAACTTTGGACCGCGGGATTTGCTGTTGAGTCGCTTAGTGCCACTCATAGGCTTTCCTGTGTCCTCCCTTCACACGGTGTCTCTATTCTGTTCGCCTCTTCCTGTTTTTCGTCACGCTAATCACGTCCCCCTTATCCTCCCCTCACAATCTCTTTTACCCATCCGCTCACTCTCCCGTATCCCACACTACACACACGCATTCTCGCTTAGCGAGACTGAAGCGCCTCATAAGCCTCCCTCCTAACCTTCCCCTCCGCCCCCTCTCCCCCCCCAACCCCCATCCCTGTCACCGTCTCCCCCCGTTCCCCCTCTCTCCCCCTCTCTGCAGTGTACCGCGCGCTGCTGGCGGAGCTGATCAGGCGCCTGGGGGGACAGTACAGCGCGGACCTCACCCCGCACTGCACCCACCTCCTCGTCGCAATATCCCCCTCCCCGCCCTCCTCCCCCCGGTCTGCGCTCCTTCTTCCCCCCCGCTCTCCTTCCCCCTCCCCTCCCTCCTTCCCCTCCCCGTCCTCCCTCGTTCCACCTCCCCGCCATCTTCTCCCCCTCCCCTCCCTCGTTCCTCACCCTCGTCGCTCCTCCCCTCATGCCCCTTCCTCACTCCCACCCACCCCCCTGAGAACATTCGTGAGACATTTGTGCTCTCCGCGCTCCTTACCCTCCTGTAGCCCTGTAGTAACCTAAGCTGTAGTCGTCCTGTTCCCACTCCTGCCGCCTCCTCTAGCGCACAACCCCGTTCGTCTAGTTCTTTGACCCTGGAGCTTCGAGCTTTGGGCTTAGACTCTTGAGACTCAGGCTGGTTTGTTTTGTAGTGGCTCATCGTTAGCGGTTGAATTTGCTTTTTCCCCTGGTTCTCTTCTCACCTTGGCATTTCCTTAACTCACCAACCTGCATGAACCCCTCTCCCTCGTTCTCCTCTCCCCTCTCTCCCTCCCCTTCCATCTCTCGCCGTTTCTTTTCCCCTCTCTTCCCCAATCCCTCTGCCCGTCTCTCTCCCTCTCCCAACCATCACCATCACCATCACCACCACCACACGCCATCCAGTCCCAAGGTGGCCTATGCGCTAGCCCACGCCTCGCACCTGCCCCTCCGCCTCGTCTCCCTGGTCTGGCTCTCCGCCTCCATTGCTGCTGGCGGTAAGATTCAAAGGTGCACTTTTGAGTTGACTCACAAGTCGATTGGCCTTGGCCTTATCCCCTTGAACTATCTCTCTGCCCTGGCTCTCCGTCTCCATTGCTGCTCGCGGTACGTGCAGTGGGGGGAGAGAGAGGGGAGGGGGGGAGAGGAAGGGGGTGGGTTGGGGGATGTGGTTGGGGGGGGGATAATGTGGGGAGCATGAAATGGGGAGGGAAGGATGGTTGGGGAGGTCTTTTGAGATGTCTCAAGAGAGTAGGGGGGTAGCTTGAGGTGTCTGGTGGGCGTGGGGGGGTGGGGGTTCTGATAGTTTGGGAAGCATGAAGTGGGGAGGGAAGGACGGTTGGGGAGGGGGAAAGGGTGGGACTGCATGGGACGTATCAAAAGCATTTGCACTCACCCATTCCTCGCACCTGCCCTTCTGCCTCGTCTCCGTGCCCTGGCTCTCCAGGACATCTTTTAGGACTCTAAAATATATTGCTCTCTCTCCTTCAGCCCCCGTTTTCCCCTCTGCAGTTCGCCTGGGAGTGGTGGGGGAGGGGAGGGAGGCTTTTGAAGCACCTCAGAATATCTCTCCGCCTACTCATTTTGCTGTGCTCCCCTCCCCCCGCCCCTCTCTCCAGTTCGCCTTCCAGAGCATATCTTCTTTCCCTGCTTCAAGCAACTGTCGGCACTGGCAGGAGGGTGGGGAGGAGGGCGGAGAGAGGGGGGATCGGGAGAGGGAGAGGGGGGGGTGGAGTAAGAGAGGAAGAAAGGGTTGGGGGAGTTGGAGGGGCGGCGGGAGGAGGAGGGGGAGAGGGACAGAAGGAGCTTGGGGAGGAGTGGAAGGAGGCTGGGAAGGAGGAGGAGGAGATGGGAGAGGAGGAGGACGAGGATGATGATGATGAGGAGGAGGGGGGTGTGGGCATGGAGGCAGAGGGAAGGGAGAGGGAAAGGGTAGGAGCGCTGAGAGGAGGAGTAGGACAGCAGTCTGAGTGTGATGAGTGTGGTGAGGAGTGTAATGAGGAGTGTAATGAGGAAGAGATGATGTACAGAGAGATATTGCAACGAGCAGCAAGGCATGAAGAAATCAGAAGTGAGAGGTGCAGTGTGGAAGCAGGAGGTTTGGGCATTCGAAAAGCAGCCTCAGCAAGCCATGGGGGTTTGGAGGCGAGTGGGGCGCATGTGCTTTCCTGTGCGGAAAGGACTGGCAGTGATGCAGAAGCATGCAGTATTGCTGCAAGTGCACTGGTTTACACCCATGACATTCAGGACTCCCATGACAGCCGTGAGTGCCGTGAGAGCCGTGAGACATGTGACACACGTGAGAGTGAAGCATGCAGGGACGCAGCAGAAGAAGACTCTGCAGAAGTCGACGCAGGAGACGGCGACTCAGCTGCTCTTGACTTGACTCGGAAGGAGGAGGAGTGCGAGGATCGGGATAATCACAAACAGCAGCAGCGAGACTCACAGGATCGGCAGAGATCTGATTCCTTGCAGGAGTTTGTGGAAAGGGAGGTGCCTTTTGACGAAGCAGACAGCCAGGTTCGGAGCGAGTGGCTCGGAAGTGGTTCCGAGCCTCCAGGAGCAGGCTTGGAGAGCCTTGGACTGGTCAGCGAGGCACAGGATGCGGTTGAGATGGGTGGGAATGAGTGGAGAGAGGCGACGGGATATGCAGCAGCAGCAGAGGTGGTGCGAGAGACAGAGAGGAGGACGGCAGGTGAATGCTCAGGTGGGGTGGACGAGGAGGGAGGGATGCGAGACGTGGCATTATTGGGCGATGAAGGTGAAGGAGTCCCCAGGCCTACTCATGCTCACGCTGGTTCCGGAGCTGCATTTGCGCCTGCTGCTAGCAGTGAAAGCCCTGGTTCCGTGCACACTCCACCATCCCCTCCGTCCGCACTGCTGGCTCCTGCTGTCTCCGTCCCTCCTGCTGCCGCCACTGTATCGTCAGTCACACCCCTTACTCACTCCCCCCCTCCACCGCCCCCTCCTCCTCATCTGCCTCCGCCGCAGCCTCCTTCTCATACACAGCCCTCCCACCTTCATCCTCTCGAGCTAATACCTGCCGAACCTCGGCCCTCCATGCCTGGGGACTTGGTTCGGCAGCAGCCGAAACCAGGGCCGTGCGAGGTGCGGGAGTGTGCTCTGCCTGAGGTCTGGTGGGAGAGCAGCAATGCTCACGACCCGTTGCTGCTGCTGCTGCTGCTGCTGTCGCTGCAGTGCCGGCAACACTCACAGCGGCAGCAATGAATCTGGCGGCTGCGGCAGCGGCAGCAGCAGCAGCAGGGGGGGTGGGAGCGGCAGCATGGGGGGGCGTTGGGCGTGGGGGTGTGTGCGTTGGGAGAGGCGTGTGGAGGCAATGGCGCAAGCCAAGGGGCTTGTACGGGCACGCAGAGGAGGGAGGCGCCAGGTACGCACTGCGGGATTGGAAGGGCTTGCTGCCTGCACTGGGTTTTTCGAAAGCGTATGCCTCTTGGAGTGCTGCTGTTGCTGCTGTTGCTGCTGCTGCAGCTTGCATGGCTTGCATGCGTAGCCTTCACCACTGTCCAACTCTCTACCCGATCCAACACACAAAACCTCGAAAAAGCCAAAGATGTACCCCCTCCCTACCTTCTGCTCCCCACCTGCCCCTCCCTACCTTGCCCCTCCCTACCTGCCGCTCCCCACCTGCTCCTCCCCATCCCTCCCATTCCAGCCAGCCAGCTCGTTACCCCGCCCTCCGGCCCCACCAGTCCTCCTCGACGACCTAGCTTGGAGTGTGTCCGAGCCTCCCACTGAGGCTCGGATGCTGGGAGGTCTGGTCTCAGGAGCTGTGGAAGAAGCCGGAACAGAGGGAGGATACAGTGCTGCTGGCAATGATGGTTCGGGTGCTGGTGCTGGTGGGGACTGTGCTTTGGTTGGGACCAGGATGCATCACAGGTGGGCTTTTCTTCTCGCCCTCCAAATCCTCTGCTTTCTTTCTCTTCCCTTCCTCCTCTCCTCTGCCTCCTCTCCTCCGCTCCTGGTGTTTCGTTTTCTCATTTTTTCTTCACCCTTCCCTCCTCTCTCCACTCCTCACCTCCCGTCTCTATCTTCCAAACGGTCCTTTGTATTAATTCAGCAGGGGTACAAACATGCAGTGCTATCCATGATAACCTCGATCCCTTAAGCCCCTTAACTCACCCCTCTTCCCCCCCCCCCCTGGGTTACCCTCTAGCCCTCCAGCGTGTGGAGGATGTCCCCCAGGTGCAGCGGCCAGGGGTCCGCTGCCATCTGGGGGTGCGCTGCCTCGATCCCTGCCCTGGCCTTGGTGTGCAGGGCATTCGCCTGGGAGCGCTGAACGGCCACTGACCAGCGCTGGCTGAAGTGGCAGGCCATCTTCTTGGCCGATTTCGCCAAGGGGTTGGCCCTGAACCGGTTCCTAGCCACTGCTGTGGCCAGCAGTTTCAGGAACGCTGTCGTGGGGGGCGCGTTTGCCCCGTAGGTCTCGACGGCCAGGGCGCAGAACACCACGTGTTCGGTGTGCCTGTAGTACTCCCTCTCCTTCCACCTCTGTGCCTCCCTTGCTGCCCAGCCTGGAGGTTTGCGGGCTGTCGGGTCTCGGTTCTGCAGCACAGGGTCAGTGATGGTAGTGTCTGTGATCCAAGTCTCTCCACTGTCCGGGTCGCGTACAATCACATCTGCCTTCTTCGGGTCATCCGGCGGTGAGTACATGGCATTCTCCAGGTATACCACCAGCTGCGCCTCCCTCGCCATTTTAGCCACGGCGAATGCCAGCTGGTTGTGTGTGCGCGTCCTGTCGGGGCCTGTGCTGCAGCGGAGTAGGTGGTTGGGTAGGCTGCAGTTGGCTACGAGTTCTCCACACTCGCACACGGTAGGTACATTCTGGCGGATACCCATGCGGAAGGCCAGGGCTGTTCGGAATTGCCCTGGTGAAAAGCAGAGGTCTGGTGTCAGGGGTAGAGCTTGCAGCCATGGCCCCGCTCCCTCGCCTCTCAGGCTGACGAGGCGGAGCGTGTGGCCCATCTCGGGGGCTGACCTGATTGTGCGTGATTCCTCTGTCAGGGCGTCGGCCTTTGCTGCGTGCACCTCCTGGGAAAGGGCGCGCTGTAGCTGGTCTTGGGACGGGGTTTGCTGCTCCTCCCGTAAGTTTTGTAGCGCCAGCGGTGGCAGTCGCCCCTCCATGTCCTGGATGGTCACGGAGTGCGCTGCAGACGGCTGCAGGGCGTTGCTGTTGGCCCCTAGTGGTGCGGTTGCTGGTAGGTCCAGGGAGCGGAGCAGGCGTAGCGCCTCTGTTGTGGATGCCAGGTAAGCTGGTGCTGCTTCTGTTGTGGGGTCCGTAAGGCCCAGTCCGCCTAGGGCTACTGGGAGAGTTGCCTGTCGGAGAAGGAAGTTGAACTCGGCTTCTCGACGGGGCGGTTGAATCCTGGCGGCGGTCAAGGCCGTGTTCAGCAGTTCAGAGCACCATGCATGCCACTCCGAGAGAGGTAAGACGTCTGCAGGGGTGGTGCGCAGCAGGTAGCCGATTCTACGGCTGATGCAACGGGACAATAGCAGGAGGGTGTGCTGTGGGTGGATGGTCGCCAGAGAGCCCAAGGGTGCCGCCGCGTCTGTCAGGGTGCTGCGGACAAAGTCAGAGCAAAAGCTCTGCGACCCAACAGGGCTTCCCAACACCCGAACCCCCTCGTGGGTGAGGGGAAGACCCTCGGGAAGCGCGTCGCCACCAAGCGGCGTGGAGGACCACGCCGCCGACTTCCTAAAGTTGCAGGTGAGGCCATCCTGTGCCAGTAGCGGCGTCAGCATTCCCAGCGCGCCAAGCGTGGCCGTCGCCGGTCCTATCATGGTGATATCGTGTGCGTAAGCTAGGACCGTGAGTTCGGGGTGTTCAGCTGCTACGCGCCTGAGGTGTTGCTGGATTGATGCGGCGAATACAAGGGGTCCGAGGGGATCCCCCTGCCTGACTCCCCTTCCGCTGGTGAGTGCAGTTGGGCTCAGGCGGGGATCGATCAGCAGCGGTGAGGGCGTTGCGTAGAAGGAGCGTGTGAATGGGATGAGTGGAGCTAACGGGGTGTTGGCGAGTGCGTTGAAGAACGCTTTCCTCTCTACGGAGTTGAAAGCGTTTTCAATATCGAGTTGGAGGACTAGGCTGGAAGGTTGTGAAGTGGTGAGGTCTCTGACTGCGTGTATAACGAACTCAGCTCCGCCTGGGACTGCCACGCCGAATTGTTGGGGTAAGAAAAATCGCCTTGTTTCCCCTTGCAGTTCCGAGAGTGCCACCTTTGCTGCCAGCCGAAGCAGGGATTCCCCTATCGCAATAGGGCGCACCCCCCCAACTCTCTATGCATCCGCTTTATCCTCTCACCCCCTCTACCTCCAGCTTTCCTCCCCACTCCCACTCTCTTGCTACCTTACTGAGACGACTCAGGAACCCGTTTCCCTCTTTGCCGCCCCGTCTCTCCCCTTCCCTCCCCTTCCCTCCCCTTCACTCTTTGCCGTTTCCCTCTTTGCCGCCCCTTCCCTCCCCTTGCCTCTCTTACCCCCGCTGCCCCCACTAGCAGTCAGCTATCAGCACTGCTCTACCCACACCCCTTCCTCACGTTGCTCTTCCCTCTCGACGTGTATTCAGAGGTCGGCCCCTCCGCCCGCTCCTACTTCTCCCCTGCCGGTTTCTCCTCGCTGCGCCTCCTCTCCCTCGTCTACTCGTTCTACCAGGCGAGTCTGCTGGGGGGTGCGAGATGGGGGAAAGTGGGATGGAGCATGGGATGGGGGTTGGGATGGGGATGGGATGGAGGTTGGGATGGGGATGGGATGGGGGTTGAAATGGGGGATGGGATGGAGGTTGGGATGGGGATGGGATGGGGGTTGGGATGGGGATGGGATGGGGGTTGGGATGGGGGATGGGATGGAGGTTGGGATGGGGATGGGATGGAGGTTGGGATGGGGATGGGATGGGGGTTGGGATGGGGATGGGATGGGGGTTGGGATGGGGATGGGATGGGGGTTGGGATGGGGGATGGGGGGACGGGGATCTCATGGGGCATCCTACAACATCAGTTTTCTGACCCGTTCGACCACGGCACTTTTGTCCCCAACCCGCTGCACCCCACTCCCACCTCACTGCACCCCTCTCCCTCCCAAACCACCACGCCCTTCGCTCCGCCCTCTCACCTGCCTGTGCGGGTGCAGGAGCGCTTAACCACACAAGGTATCCATGTGTGTGCTCTAAGATTTCGTTTTTCTCTTCTTCTTCTTCTTCTTTCGTTTTTGCTATTTCTCAAAAACCATGCCTTTCTCCTCTGTGCTGTTGCCTCTCCTGCTGCCTTTGGGAGTGCAGGAGCGCTTAACCACACACGAGGTGTCCCTGTGTGCGCTCTCAGACTCTCGCCATGCAGAAGCACTGCGATGCTCACTCGCTGACTACCCACCCCCACATGCCGCCACCACTCCTGCTGCTCCTCCTTCTGCCACTGCCTCTGCTGCGGCTCCTGCAGCTGCCTCTGATTCTTCTGCTGCTGCCGCACCTCCTGCTGCCGCTGCAGCAGCACCAACACCTGCCGCTGCAGCAGCCTTACCAGCTGGAGCCGTCATCCCTCTGTCCACCCCACCACCTCCTTCCCTTGACCCACCCACACCAACTTTGCAACCACAAGGTCCCACAACAAGTTGGGTCCCTCCTCTGCGCGTGGCTTTCCTGGGTTCCAGGCTGCATTTCGAGGGGCTGAAGCGGGTTTCGCGGGATGGTTTCGGGCAGGTTTATGAGGTGTGCTTGGGCAGGTGAAGAAGGGGCAGAGTACTGGGGAGCAAGTGCCTGCTGTTAGACATGTTAATTCAAAAGACAGGTTGATCTTCTGAGAATTCTCAAAAAAACCCGTTGATCTTCTGTTTGGTTGATAGTACAGGCTTGTATTTCTGTTAGAAAGGTAGTACCTATGTTTGTTGGGTATGCCATGCCATGCTATGTTTGTTTGTTGGCCATGCCATGCCAGTTGTTACGAGCTTCGCACACAGAGGCAGCACATGCTTTCACCTCCGATATTCACATTAACCAGAAGCAGTAGGGGCTATGGTGCACAATACACAGTGCTTCCCTGCTGCATGTGCGACAACGAAATTCGCATGTGCTGCATGTAGCACTTCAGCGTCACTATAACAATCTGCATTGAAAAAGCTGCACAGTTCAATTAGCTGTATCGACGGGAAAGGACATGCAATACATGTTGATGCGGAAAGACATGATGAGGCAAAACGAGCTTCCCACTCCCATCTTTGCCATTGCTGTTCATTTCCTCGTCCCACCCTCCCCTTATCCCTCCCTCCCCTCATACATCTCTTCTTCCCTCTCCACTTCCCTCTTCTCTCCCTCACCTCTTCCTCTCCACTACCTCAACACCTCTCATCCTCTCCCATTCAAACTGCTACTGCTCCCACCTCTGCCCCTCCAGATCCTCCTCCGGAAGATATACCCCTCCCTCCCCCTTCTCTTCCTGCTCCCCCTGTTGCCCTTGTCCCCCCTGCTCCCCCTGCCCCCCCTGCTGCACCTCCTGCCCACTCTGCTGCTCCTGCTTCTCATCCCTCTCTCCCTCCTCTTTCTCTTGATCCCTCTGCACCTGAATCCCACGCCACTTTTTTCTCCCCTCTCGCACATCATGCTCCTGGCCACACCCCTTCCACATTCCCTCCTTCACCTCTTTCCCTTCCCCATCCTCCCCTCCTCCCCCGTCCTCCCCCTCGTGCTTCTCACCTACCCCTTCCTCTCCCTCACACCCCACCTGCTGCACTAGCCCCCTCCTCTGCTGCTGAACCCCCTCAGCCACACGAGCAGCAACCACTTCTCTCTGTCTCCTGGCAGGGCTACCTTTCTCTAGCAACACAGGAAGAGGCCAGTGGGTTGCCATAAACTCCAAGTCACCTGTACCTTCCTCCGCCCTCCGCCCTCTCTCCACCCTCTCCGCCCTCTCCCCTCTCCCACCCGCCCCTCCTCTCTCCCGCCCCTCCCTCCCCCCCACTTCGACCTGATCAAGTGTACGGGTGGGTGCAGAGCGGTGCTTGGACAAAGCTCTCCCACCCCGTGCCACAATCGCTCTCCGAGCGCTTGCATCATTATACCTTCCTCGGGAATCCCCTCCTGCTCCTCCTCTTCTCCCGTGCCCCACACCGGGACCAGCAGGGGGGGTAAGAGAGGATGCCGCAGCAGCAGCAGCAGCAGCAGCGGCAGCAGCAGAGGCAGCAGTAGGGCGTTGGGACTGTCAAGGCAACCCCTGGCTCCTCCGCTGTTTCTCCAAGTGCTCCTGTCTCCCCTGCTCCCTGCATGATTCGCTGTGGCGGGGCGGTGACGGGAGGAAGACGCAAAGGCACCACTCACAGAGCGAGAGGAAGGGAAGGACGCAATAGGGGGGCGAGCAGACGAAACAGCAGCAGGAGCGACAACGGCAGCAGGGGACAAGGAAGGAGGAGTGGTGCAAGCAGCAGCAGGGGAGAGAGTCTGCGCAGCAACGCGCGAGCCTAGCAACCGCCGGGCTGCTGCAGGGTCGAGTGCAGGGGACGGGGAAGAGGGAGAGGCGGCAGAGTCGAGAGTGCGAGTAGCGAGAGGTGTGCCTGCTGATTCGTATGTTGGGGTGGTTGGTGCGTTGGTGGTGGGGCAGGAGCTGATGCGGGGTACAAGTGGGATTCGTGTAGAGGCTGAGGGAGCAGCAGGAGGGGACGTGACAGTGGCAGCAGCCGAAGGTGGGTGCAGTGGAGGGGGCAGGTGAGGGGCTGGAGAGACTGAGTGGTAGGAAGGATGGAGATGGGGATGGGGATGCGGATGGGGAAGGTGGGGGGGATGAGGAAAGGGGCGCTCGTCTTCTCGCCCTGAGCCCTCCTCGTTGCTTCTCGTAAAGCTCCTTCCCTTGGCCCTCACACCACTGCCACCACCACCACCACCACCACCACCACCACCACCACCACCACCACCACCACCACCACCAGCAGCAGCAGCAGCACCTCGACCTGCCATGATGGTGCGTCGGTCTAGGCTGAGCACTTTGCCAAACATGGCAGAAGTTGGTGCCTCTGCCCAAGCCTGCTGACCCTTCTCCCTCTGCTGATGCCCCTGCAGCCCCTGTTGCCCATGCCAGTTCTGCTGATACCCCCCCGGAGCAGCAGCAGAAGCAGCAGCAGCAGCAGCAGCAGCAGTGCTGGGGCGTTTGAGAGCCAGTCGCCTCTCCAGGCTCATAACCTTGACAAACATGGCAGACGAGGTAGGTGCAGCCCATACCTCCTCCTCCGCCTGCTGCCCCTGCTCCCCATGCTCCCTGCGTTTCCCAGCACCGCCTACCCCACCCTGATCCGCAGTGTTCCCCTGCTTCCCCTCGTGCCTCTCCCCTCGCCCATACCCATCACTAGATACGTAGCCGCGCTCTCTACTCCCTCCGGAACCACCCTCCTCCTCCTCCTCCTCCTCCTCCTCTTCTCCCCCTCCCCCTTTCCGACTTCCCCTCCCTCGCCCCCCACCTTCGGCCTTCCCGCCCTCCCCACCCTCCTCGTCCCGTGCACGTGCCCCCCCTCTCCCCTCTCCCCTTTTCACGCGGCGATCCGCCGTGCCACTCTGAGCGGCAGCAAAGAGGGGATCAGCCTGCTGCATGGCGCGCAGCAGCTGCTCTGAGAAAGCAGTGTCTGCAGACAGACGCCTCCCCAAGGATAGAGAATACGCAACAGATGCACCACTGCCACTACCACCGCCGCCGCCGCTGATGCTGTTGATGCTGTGGGGGTGGGAACCAGTTGTGGCAGCAGGGGCAGCAGGAGCGGCAGAGTCACTTGCATGTGCTGTTGCTGCTGCTTTCGGGGGGGAGCATGGGCGGGAGGAAGGCCGAGAGGCAGGGCGGGAGGGAGGGCGGGAGGAGGTGCGGCAGGCAGCAAGCAGCGTGGCGAGAGACGGCTTGTCTCCTGGCGTTAATGGCATTGCTTCTCCTCCTGCCACTGCTGCACTCCTGGCCTTCTCACTCTCACTGCTGGGCTTGCGAGATCGAACCCCTGTGGTTCTTTTGTCACTGCATGCAGCTTGCTCCACCTTAGTTACCTTCTTTGTGCTGCTGCTGCTGCTGCTGCTGTTGTTGCTGTTGCGGTTGCTCCCCGGTGCTGCCTCCTGCTCCTGCTGATCCTCACGCTCACGCTTGTGCTCGTGCTTATGCCTATGCTCATGCTTGTGTTTATGCTTACGCTCATGTTCATGCCCTGCTGCTTCCCGCCGGTGTGCCTTTACCTTCCTCTCTCCCGCTTTCCCTTCCCCTTCTTCCCCTGCTTCTCCCTTCCGGAGCCTCGCCTGTCTCTCCCCTACCTTCTTCTTCCTCCGCTTCTCTTCTCCTTCTCCCATCCCTCCTTCACGCACCCCCTCCTTTCCCATTCTCTCTTCCCCATCCCCTTCCTTGTCCCCCTCCACTACCCCCGCAGCTCCTCTCTCAACTCCCTCCTCATCCTCAGAATCAGACCTACTGTTGCCTCCTTTCTTATCATGCCTCTTCTTCCTCCTACTCTTTCCTCCCCTCCCCTCGCACCTGCTTCTCCTGCTCTGGCTGCGATGCGGCTTCTTCCTCCCCATCACACCCTCTTCTTGATCCTCCTCCTCCATCCACTCCTCCCTCACTCGCCATTCCTCTAGATCTCCCCTCTTCCTTCTCCTTCTCCTCAGTTACCCCCTGCTGCTCCTCCTCTTCTCCCGCGTCTCCTACTGTCTCTCCATCTGCCGCTCTTTCCTCCTCCTTCTCTCCCTCACTCTCTGTTTCACTCTCCTCCTCACTATCGTCACTTCCATCCTCACCTCCTTGCTCTCTCCCTTTCACTTTCACCATCACCTCCTCTCTCTCCTCACCCTCCTCTTCCTCCTCCTCATTCTCCTCCTCGTCCTTGCCCTCTTCCTCCTCTTTCTCTTCCATCCCTAACTCCTCTTCTTCTTTCTCATCACTCGTTTCTTCCTCCTCTTCTCCTTCTCTCTCTCCTTCCTCTCGACTTCCCCCACCTCTTTTTCCTCCTCCTCTTCCTTCCCCTCCTTCTCTTCCTCCTTTGCTTCAACCTCCTCCGTTTGTTCCAACAATCCTTTCTCTTGTTCCTTCTCTTTATCCTCCTCTTCCCCCCCTTGCACTTCCTCATCCACCTGTTCACCCACTTGCGCAACACAACAGCTGCTCCCCTCGTCTCTTTCCACACCATCACCATTCAAATCGCCTCCATTCGCTTCCCCTCCTTCCAAACCGCTTCCTTCCAAACCAGCTGCTTCCAAACCTAATCCTCCCGAACCGCCTCCTTCCAAATCGCCTCCTCCCGAACCGCCTCCTTTTGAATTGCCTCCTTCCAAACCGCCTCCTTCCGAACCGTCTCCTTCCAAACGTGCATGACCTGCTCTAGAACCCTCCTCACTCCTCACAACACTTCCCTCCACCTTTTCCTCAAAACCAGCACCCTCGCCCAAAGTCAATCCCTTCCCCACAACTACCTCTGTTCTGGAGAAATCTTCCCCAAATGCTCCTACATCTGTACCATCCCCCACATACTCCTCTCCTTCGTCTCTCCCCTCCCCTGATGCTCGCAGAATCCCCTCCAACCCCCTCTCGACCCCGTCCTCCGCACACAATACTGCTGCCCTGGGCATTTCTAACACCGCTGCTGCTGTGGCTGCTGTTAGCAACAGGCTACTGGATGCTGCTACAGCTCCTCCCGGAGGTACAGCTGCTCCTGCTGCCGCAACTTCTCCCGCTGCTACAGCTTCTCCTGTTACCTCAGCTGCTCCTGCTGCTGCAGCTGCTCCTGACGGTTCAGCTCTTCTTGATGCTACAGATTCTCCTGCTGCTCCTGCTGCTACAACTTCGCCTGCTGCTACAGCTTTTCCTGATGCCACAGATTCTTCTGCTGCTACAACTTTTCCTGCTGCTGCAACTTCGACTGCTGCTACAGCTTCTCCTGCTGATTCAGCCGTTTCTATTGCTTCAGCTTCTCCTACTGGCACAGCTTCCTTTGTTGCTACAGCTGTTTCTGCTGCTACACTTTCTCCTGTCGATACAGCTGCTCCTGCTGCTACAGCTTCTCTTGCCAATTCAGCTGCTCCTGCTACCACTCCTTCCGCTTCCAAGCTCGCTGTACCTGCTTCTTCCTCTCGCCCTACCTCGTGCCTCTTTCCATCCCCCTCCCCACATACACCTGCCTCTCTCTCCCTCTCTCCCCCCTGCTCTAACCCCGCTTCCCCCTGCCCTCTCTCGCCCTGCACATGTGCGCCTGCACTGCAAGTCAGGTCGCATGCACCAGACACTGCCCTGCTGCAAGTGTGGCTAAGACCAAGAGGAGAGGGAGCAGAGGCAGTGGTGGGAGTGGGACTCGGAGGAGTGAGACGGGGACTAGAGACCAGAAGAACTGGAGTGTTGCTAGCGCCCGTGCTGCTACCGTCGCCAGTACCACCACCGCTGCTGCTGCTTGCCTCTCCCTTCCCCTCGCCCACGCAGCCACAACTCCCGTTCACCATATCCCCCTTAACAGCGGCCTCGAGTTCGTTACTATCACCCAGAAGGAGGCCGCTGCCACAGCTGCTGCTGCTGCTGCCACGTCTGCTGTGCCTGCGACCGCGACTGCTGCTAGATATGCAGCGACCAGACGTCTCCTGAGCGCTTCCGCCCGCCTGAACTATTTCCCCCTGCTCCCCCTGCTCCCCTTGCTCCCCCGGCTCCCCCTGTCCCCCTTGCTCCCCCCTCCCTGACGCCTTACTAAAGCTCTGGTAGACGTCTTTAAGCTGGGCTTTCGCACGCGAGCCTCCTAAAGACAGCACTCTGCTGAGAGTCCGCGGTGCTACTAACGAAGCCCCTCCCCACCTGCCGGACCTCCCCGCGCTGCCAGCCTCGCTAGAATCACACGCGGATTCGTCTCCTTGGCTGCTGAGACGCGCTCCGCGGTTCGAACTATCGCTGCTCCTCCTCCTCCTACCGCTGGCATCGGGAATTCCGGAGATGCAGACCGATGGGGATAGACTGCGGGGGATGCGCAGATTCAGATTCGGATCCTCGACTCCTTTGAAATTCCTCGCTTTCTCCTCCTTCCCCTCGTCCGAAACTCCTTCGTTTTCCTCCCTTTCAGCTGCCTGGCTTTCTTCATCTGTCTTTTTTTCTCCTCCTCCGTCGCCCTTCTCGTTCGTATCGTCCCCCTCCGCGTTCTTAGTGTCGTTCTCATCCCCCTCCTCATCCTCGTCGTCGTCACTCTCCCCTTTAAGATGAGAATTCGAAAACCCGCAGAGGAGAAGCTTCGCGGAATGAGCTGAGAACGCCCCCCGCGGTAACCTCCGCGAGCTACCCCCCCCCTCGCGCACACTGCCGCCGCCGCTCCGCGCGCTGCGCTCCGGCTTCGCCCCTCCTTCCGCCAAGCCCGCATCGTTATGTACAGCTATGTCCCCGTTATAGCTGCTCCCGTTACTCCTGTGAGGGCTTCCGTCCTCTTCCGCGCCCCTGCCATGTGTACTACCGCTGGTACTTCCCCCGAATCCCCCCCTGCTCCCGCCTCCGCCGAAACATCCGATCGCCACTCCGCCACTGCTGCGGCTACTTTCGCTATTGTCACTACTGTTTAAGCTGGCGGCGCTTCCGTGCCGCGCAAACGAAGAATCGGAGCTCATGGCCCGTCGTTGCCACTAGGAGCTGAGTGATCGTCGTTCGAAACGGTAACCTGCGATAAGCGAACAACACGGGGAAGATATCTCACTAATTTCTGCACTTTGGCTGCTGATAAATACATGCACCTTTGTGGTTGGAGCAGGAACGTACCGTACGCCTACAGATCGAAACGGCTCTGTTGGTGGAACGAAGCAGTTGAGCAAATCTCGAGACGTCTCTCTCGCCACACCATCCCGTTACATCGCCCGTGCCATCATCCTGCCTGCGTTACTGTACTGCTGTACTGAACGCATGCGCCATCGCATCCATCCTCCTTTCCTCCCCCACGCTCTTGCGGCTGTGCAAACAGCGCGTTGTTGCGGTACTCGGTTATTCAAACGCCATGCTCCTTGTATGTTTCTATACAATGTGTATAATTTAATCTAGTTCATTTGAATGGATGCACATGCTAACGCATATCCTGCAGTAAGTGAATAGATGGGCTCGAGGTTGCATTACCCATTTGAAATACCATTTTATGTCTTCGTTGACCCTTTTTTCCAACAAAATTAGGCCGATAAATTTTACGGCAAGCTATTCATGGAAATATGACGCCAGGTAGAGTAGATTCAGTTGCTCTTGTTCGCGTTTTGGCTGTTTTCATTCGCGTCGTTTCTCTTCTTTGGTAGTGCTCTTGCACTGATGATCTTGTAGGGCGTACGGATCTGTGTCAGAGCTGGTCCTCCTTGCGCGCGCTTTTCGCGTCCAGACCAGCACCCCCCCCCAGTTGGTATTTTCGAGGTTGCTTGTGTTGTTGTCGTTCCCTGCAGGAACTTCGGTGCAACCATCGCATTGCTAACATTCAATCCAAGTGCATGGCATGGCCGGCAGCAGTGACAGGATGGATGTTAGTGACGAGAGCTAGATATTATTCAAATCTACACCCAGCCCACCTGAAAGGTTATGCTCAATCCCAAGGAAAGGAGACCACGCCATTCCACCACGCGATATTTGAAGGTTAGCCCAAGGCAAGAGATTCGAGCTCTCGTGCTGCCGATTTCATAGCCACAATCTTTCCTTGTAGCAAAGATGTCGCGTACGTTGCGGCTGTTTTCCGCGTGACAGTGAACATTCTCGGTCCATCCAACAGAGTTTAGATTGGTCCCAGCCAGCTATCGCTAATCCTGTTGCGACACGTGGCGCGTCGCCAGAACCACCTTCATTCTCTCCTTCGTCGGTTCCTCGCTCGCGCCGGCGCTTACCGGAGCTGCTGCGTGCGGAGAGAGTCGGGGGAAAGCAGCGCGCAGTTGGGGGGAAGCGCGCCGGTTTGCGAAGATCACGGCGGAAGGAGCGGCCTGACGAGCCGGAAATCATTCCATACCACGTCTTAGATCTCGGGCAAAACGAAGGACACTCATGGGCTAATGGCGGAAGAGGTGCTCGTGCGGACCGCGAGCAGCAGCACCGCGAACCTAGAGCGCGTAACGAGAAGCTCCGAAGCGAGTCTTGTTAACCCGGGAGGAGTCCTTTCCAGAGGCGGCGGCGGCGGCGGCGGCGTTGGTGGCAATGGCGCCGTGCTTTCTGTTAGTACCACATACCTCACTAACACCACCAGCATCGCCGGCACTACATCCACGCCTTCTAGGTCTAGTAGCGTGCGAAGTGGATGGTCCTTAGTCGGTGTCACCGCGCCGCTGTGCCGCGTGCTGCTATTCGTCCTCGTCGCCGTCTTCCTGACGCAAACTACACTCATCAGCTTGGGATATCTCGGACAAAAGCCTTTGCCGGAGCAGGCTATAGCGGGTACCACAGCGGCGGCTGTCGGGGATAGGGGGGTAGGCGGGAATGCGCTAGGGGGAAAGGGGGAGGGTGTGGCGGAAGGGGGGGCCTTAGCGGATGTGGTTACAGGGGAGGGAGGAGAGATAGGAGAGCGGAAGGACGGGGAAGAGGGCGCGGGAAGGAGCAGTGAAGTAGGCGCGGGAGACGGAAGAAGTGAAAGGGAGGTTGTTGGAGAGAGCAAGGGGGGTGGCGCTGATGGTGGCGCTGATGGTGAGAGCATTGAGGAGCTACAGAGTCAGAAAGAGCAGGAGGAAATGCAGGCGAAGCTGCACGGCAAGCAGCGCAAGCGGGAGGGCGAGTGGAAGCAGGGGAAACGGCACAAGGGGTGGAGGCAGGGAAAGCGGCAGGGCAAAGGGCGGCAAAAGCAGCAACAGAAGAGGCAAGCTTCGGGAAACGCGTCTCTACCGGAAGAACCAGAGAGCAGAGAGTGGACTCGGCAGGGTAGCAAGGAACGGGCTGTGCACGCACCACCGCCACGAACAACAACAGCAGGGAACAGAAACGGAAATGAAAACGGAAACGGAAACAGAAGCTCCCATGGAGTGGACCCGGGGAAGTATTACCTGGTGGAGGGGGGGAACGACCACTGTGCGGGCGAGTCTCACTGGGTGTGGAGCTTCCTGTGCGCTGCTGCGGAGGCTCAGTCGCTTGGGCGCGTGTTTGTGGTCCCGGACACGTGGTGCTCTGGAATGAGGCACAGCGGGAGTGGGCAGGACGAGGAGCGGCCGTTCCAGTTGTACTATCACACGGAGCACTGGGCGAGGTGCGTGGGGGGGGAGTGAGGGAGGGGCGAGTGAGAGAGGGGCGAGTGAGGGAGGGGCGAGTGAGGGAGGGGCGAGTGAGGCCTGTAAAGAACAGTGGGCAGGATGAGGAGAGGCCGTTCCAGTTGTACTATGACACAGAGCAGTGGGCGAGGTGCGTGGGGGGGGAGTGAGGGAGGGGCGAGTGAGGGAGGGGCGAGTGAGGCCTGTAAAGAACAGTGGGCAGGATGAGGAGAGGCCGTTCCAGTTGTACTATGACACAGAGCAGTGGGCGAGGTGCGTGGGGGGGAGTGAGGGAGGGGCGAGTGAGGGAGGGGCGAGTGAGGCCTGTAAAGAACAGTGGGCAGGATGAGGAGAGGCCGTTCCAGTTGTACTATGACACAGAGCAGTGGGCGAGGTGCGTGTGGGGGGGAGTGAGGGAG